ATTTCACTAGCCAGGCTGATAACCTGCGGGAGAACCTAATCGCATTTGCAGGCTTTCTATATGATGACTTGGGAAAGTAGGTGCCTATCTATCATATCTCGATTCTTAGCTACTAATTCCGGTTCCAATAGTGCGAACCTCTAGGCATTCCACCCCACAGCCTTCTCCGGCTCATATGTCAGCTCTCCAAAGAGTCCTAGCATCGCATGAGCATAACCCAAAACGGGTGGCTGCCCTCCGTCAGTTATGTCTCATTCGTGATCAGCACAAAATGTGTCATTTCCCATACGTTCGATGTAGATGAAGCCGATATTCGTGTGCGCGACATGAAGACAGCGCTAAAGATGATGATGGGAATCGGCTATCCGAAGCGGGCCCTGACCGTCAGCCTATAAATGTTGGGGCCCCTGAAAGTGTCGCACATTCTCCCGCATTCACTGCCCCAAGCTGCGGCCAGCGGCAAGCCGGTATGTGACTTTACCTCCTAGTTTAATATTTAAACAAATCGTATCGTGATGGCTGGGTAAGCGGGGCCCCCGTTACTTGCGAACTGCATTTAACTGAGGACCGGTCAATAGACCCTCCGCTACCCCGGATTCTTGCACTCCACAGGGCTAATGCACTTTTCTACATTTGTTTAGTGCTGCAGAACCCATAGACAAGGTGCTTAGGGATATGGAGGAGGATCTGGCCATCAGTGCTTCAGGATCTACTGAACTAGGGTAACTAATGACGCTGAAAATGAATGGCTGGTTTGATGTACTTTTATTCCAAAACCAGTCTGAATATAGCAAACTCTGGGATGCATCAAGATTTATGAAAAAGAGAGATGAAATTTGAACCAACAAGGACCTGTATTTGACAAGCTGACGTACCGATCTCCCTGACGAGATTTATTAGCTGAGTAGTGACGGCCGTACAACTGCTACATTTTGCGACCGCTAGCCCCAGGGACCACACTAGTTATAACTATGTAGTTAGGACTTCTTTATGCAGCCTATCTTCACTTCTCGCCACATTATAACTTATTATTCCTCTCATTACCAAGTCCTCAACTTTAGTTGGTCTAACGGCGCCTCCTTTTAATGCCCTTCGTTAACTAATGAGGCCCGCTGTGACACTGATTGGATGGAACACAACTGAGGAAAAAGAAAGATGGCGGGAAGTTTGACCAGGGGGTATAATGTATGGAGAAGTGGTGGGCGAGGCAGACTTGCGTAAGAAGTCCAAGGTTGCTAGATGCCGTGGGGTAATGCTTCTACAAAGCATAATATTGCTAGTTTGAATAACTAGGGGCTTTTCAAGATATATACTCAAACATTTCATAATAAACCCGATAAGCAAGGAATGACAAAGCATGAAGAATATAATGAATACAAACATGAGTGAGGAACGAGATTAAGAGAAACCGTTATCATAAGATCGTTATCTGCTGGTTGTTGGCAAAGCTCCTGCTCCATTCCTCGTAGGCTTGGATAACCTCTGGCTGGGTCCGTCTCGGAACCATTTCGAGCGAAGCTAGGAAGTGTTGGGGCTGGATCTGTAGATTGGGCATTCTCTTTTCTTCTTCTTCGTCCAGACACAGTTCGGCAGCAGTTTCACAGATGTTCACGAGCTCGGCACCAGAGTGGCCGTCGGTCATGGAGGCCAGGATGATGGCGTCCACCTCGTCATCGACATCAGCGCGTTCAATCCAGTTTTCAAATATCTCTTTGCGAGCCTCCATGTCTGGAAGCCCAATGTATAATATGCTGTCCAGTCTTCCAGGTCGCATGAGTGCAGGGTCGAGGATCTCTGGCTTGTTGGTGGCAGCAACAACGAGAACGTTTTTCAGCTCCTCAATGCCGTCCATTTCATTCAGCAGAGTGGTCAAAATGTTAATCCCTCCATGAGATCCGGCGTCTCGCCGAGCTGCAATGGCGTCTATCTCGTCGAAAAAGATAATACTTGGGCTTGCAGCTCGTGCCTTGCGGAAGATTTCCCGCATTGCCCTTTCTGACTCACCAACGTACATGCTGAGCATTTCGGCTCCCTTAACGGCTAGGAAATTCAACCCAGCCTCGGTGGCAAGGGCCTTGACCATCATCGTCTTTGAGCACCCAGGTGGGCCGTAAAGCAGTATTCCCCTCTTTCCACTGATATTGAGATTCTTCATTCTCTCAGGATTCTATATCCGTTAGCATTAAGTTCTGTATGTAAGGATGAAGGTCGGGGGAGGAAGACGTACTTTGAGTGGTCTCTCGACAGCCTTCTGCAGACGGTCCTTGATGTACCCTTGGCCACCAATGTCCGACCATCTTACAGACGGCGTTTCCAAGAATACCTCTCTCATAGCCGTTGGCCGGACCTCTTCCATGGCCAGGAGCATGTCCTTCTCGTATATCTTCAACGGCCGTGGTTGGTCACTGGACAGGTCCAAATGATCCTCATAGTATCCATCTTCTTCATCATCCTCATCAAAATACCCGTCACTCTCGTTTTCATACTCTCCTGCATAAAAACGATTTCTGAATGTAGATGTACCATTCGTAGGCGGAGGCGGAGGCACAGGCGATAACATACGGGCCTTTGCCTTTCTGCAGGACAGCTGAAGCAATGAGAGGAGGTCTGCACCGACGTACCCATGGGTCTTTGCAGCTATAGTCTCCAACACCCTGTTGGTAGGCTGGGTTGCCGACCCGCGAAGAGCCTGTAGAATTTCCAGCCTGCTCTTTGAAGTGGGAATCTGCAGTTCAATCTCAATCCCGAGCCGGTGAGGTGTTCGTAGACAATCATCCACGTCATTGGGGTGTCTTGTGCATGCAACCACCAGCACCTTGCTGTCCTGGAGCGAGTCCAATACTTCACAGAGAGTAGGAGAGAGGGAAACATCGGCTGGCCCTGTAGAGGATCGCTTGGGTGCTATAAAGTCGAGCTGGTCAATCTTGATGAGTGAAGGCTGGTACTTGAGCGCATCCGAGAATATCTTGCGTAGAACTGCAGCTCCATCTCCCCCCGTTCTGCTAGTGATTGACGATGTGACGTTGAAGGTTCTGCGCCAGTTGGCCTCCCCTATCTTTGCCAACATCGCACTCTTCCCCGTTCCTTTGGCCCCGTAGATGAGAATCCCGCCGGTACTCTTGTAGAACGAGGGCATGATAATCATTTGATCCTGGGTATTGAAGTCCTGCAGCCGTTCGTTGACAACTGCCAGCTGGGGTGCAAGACCACCGAGTCCATCGGCCGTGACCTCCAGACGGCCCGTTGACGCTGGATCTGCGTCCCCGGGGACCTCATCTGCCTTGCCAATGGTCACCTTCGACTGCTGGGTATATTTGAAGATGGTGTTGGCAGTGTCGTTGCTACTACTCCCAGCATTGATATGGACCACCTTGAACCGCCTGGAGACGCCCTTAAGTTCGACGTCAAACGCCAGCCCGAGTGAAACTACCTCGCATTTCAACAGGGGGTATTCAAGCGCCCACTCCCAGTGCGGACGCTCTTCTGCTGCCAGCTCCGAGGCCATTGACGAAGCTGCTGATGAAGAGCCTGGGGAGCTGCTGCGCTTCACCTCCTCGAGCCTGACCGTCTCGATATCAGCCAGCGGGTCGGTCACTGGCGAAATAGAGACCTTGTCACCCAGTCTGAGGCCGTAGAGCTCCTGCATCTGCTTGGTCGTCTGGATGATGTTGTCGTGTATCTTCTCTGCGGCACTCCATGCTATGGCCGTCTTCACTTTGCTACCCGCAGCAGCGCCAACAGCACCACCACCACCACCACCATGGCCGTTGCTGGTAATGCTATACGTCTCTAGCTGGCAGAGCTCGCCTACTCGCACTTTGACCTGCAGCAGCGACGCCGGCGACAGATAGACCCGGAATGTATCTTTGTGGTCGGCGCGGGCTTGCTTGGAGGCCGGGCGGACAGTAAACAGCTTCGACTCGGCCATCTGGCAGCAATTCTACGTATACAGCTGTCCTTTTGCTAGACGAGGTGGTGCCGGACAAGTATCCCCGGCCTTTTTCGCCCGTCGACGCCTGTCGTCTCTTCTTCTCCTGTGGATGGCTGGTGGGGGGAATAAATGGAAATATTTTTTTCTTTTTTGGTGTAGTTAGATAACTGCAGAAACTGAGAAATTGATAGCTAACTAGTTAAACTCGGCAACGCAGCTTTCTCCCTACAACAGAGGGGCAGGATGAGACTATTTATGTATAAGATCACGGAAAAAAGACCAAAGGGAGGAGGGCATTGGGATTCCTCAGCCCGCTAGTTAGTTGCATCACTGTAGGACTGAGATTTGCATTGCGACGGGGGAGGGAGGAGGCCCCCATGGGAGAGGCTGGAGGGCGCGGAACGAGGGATAACTGCAGGCAGGATACCTGCATAGGGGGCGCACATATATTCGCAAGAGATGAGTGGCCTCTGTTCGCCCTTTGGTTTCGTAGACTACGGGATATTTGGGAGTGTAAGATGCATCACCCCGTCCAGTCCGGCCAGTTCCAGCCAATAATGCCGTTGGAGAAGGTTTCCTGCATAGTGATTGCAAGGGTGACTGCATCAAAGTACGTAGATGGCATTCTTCCCCCCCGAGGGTGGGTGGTTTGTTCGTATTATTAGTTGTCTGGATTTGGATGAGTATGTTTTTAACACTTGTATTTATAAATTATTCTATTGTACCTCTAACGCAGACATGGTGAGGGACGGGGGTGGTTTTGGTAGGTTACAGACAGATCTCGTTATAACGTAGCGAGGGAAGTAATATAGGGGTGGGGGCATAATAAAAGAAGAGGTCAATAAAGGGTGCCTGCTGGCCAGGGCGGCTGACATTAAAAGCAGATAAGAGGGTCAAAAGCTGAACATGTAGAGAAGATCGAAATTAACAGTGTTTCTGGTGGCCGTGGAAGAAGAAGTAGCCGTGCTGCGTTTGTAGCGTCGTATTCAACAGAGCAGGGGAGACACAGGAAGGCGGGAAAGGGAGCCAAGCGAGAGAGAAGACACGAACGTAGAGGAAGAGAAGATGGCTACTGGGCCTTCTTGGCCTTCTGCTCTCTCTTTCTCTGGAGGGCGGCGGGATCGTACTCGGTGTCGAGTAGGTAGTCCCACCATCTGAAGCTGCTGGCGTAGTTGCCGACGAATTTCTCGTGGTGAAGGTCGTGGTGGTCTGCACCGGCCCAGAAGGGGAGGAAGTGGTGCAAGCTCCAGGGGAACTCGTAGCCGCTGTGGGCGTCGATGGCCTGGAAGAGGCGGAAGACGATCCAGAGATACATGGTGAGGATGTGCAGGTCACCGGTCAGGGCGCACCAGAGGATGGGGCAGCCGACAGTGCCGAAGCCCAGGGCCATGACTTCGATGGGAGAGGCATACTCGGCGGCGAGACCAAAGGGAGCGGAGTACTGGTGGTGAATCTTGTGGACGGACTTGTAGAGTGGGCCCCAGTGGAAAGCGCGGTGCGAGAAGTAGTGCCAGGTATCCTCTAGCACGAAGAAGATGGCGATCTGGTAGGCCATCTTCCACCACGGAGGGAAGGGAACCGTTGTCTCTAGGCCAAAATATTGTGCCATTGGGTGGAATAGCCTACTGCTGTTAGCTTTCCTCCCCCCCTTTTTTTCTCTTCTATATAAGCAGGCTGGATCCTACCATATCTGGGGCAGCTCGACTGTAAAATGGCTGAGAAGAACGAGTTTGGCGCAATTCCACTGTTCCTGCAGGGTCGGGATTTTATTCTACAGCAGGTTAGTTTTTGACGTAGAAAAAAAAATAAAAATAAAAATAAAAATAAAAATAAAAAATAAAGCAGCAAAAAAATAACATAATAAGGGCAATATAAAATACTCACGCTCTGGATCTTGTAGCGGTTAAAGTACGGCAGACGGTCGATGATCATCCAGGGAAACGAGCGGCCAAAGTAGACGATCTCGTGCATGGCAAAGGACATGATGCCGGTGGCGAGGACGTCGTTCTGCATGTAGGCGTACCAGGCCGCCCACATCTGCTCGAAGACATTGAGCTGGGGGTTGTATGCGGCCGTCTGCTGGAACTGGGCCCAGTACGTCTCCGGCGGAGGGGAGAGCAGCGTTGTTGAATTCCTGCAGGTACCGAAGGTTAACAGCCAGCTCGACGGCGGACGGAGAGGGCTACCTACATGACGGACAGGGCTCAGCGGGAGCCGGAAGAGAAGCCAGCAGCCAGCGGTGAAGACTCGGGCGTGTCCAGGGGGATGAACCGGCAGAGAAGACTCTCTCGATGGTCTTCGTTGTCAGTTTCTTCTCTTCTTCTCTTCTTCTTCTTCTTGTTGTTGAAGTTGAAGTTGAAGCTGAAAAAAGATAAAGAAAAAGATAAAAAGTCAGGGGGATGCTTAGTCAGCTGCCTATTGACGAGCCGTGGTGGCCTGACAGATACGAGAGAGAAGAAGTAGAGAGAAGAAGTAGAGAGAAGAAGTAGATATTAAGTAGAGACTAGATAGAGAGAGACTAAGGTAGAGAGATTAGAGAGATAGAGAGGTAGAGAGGTAGAGAGAGACACAGAGGAAGAGGTACGGAGTAGGGTCAAGGTAGAGTGGACAGGCTTATATATAACTAGGCGGCGCTCATGCTGGGACAAGCAGGGCAGCGTGGAGCAAGGAAGAACAACATCCAGCATAGCGAGACCGCGCGCAGAGATCGTATGACTGCATGACTTCATGACTCGATGAAGAGCGCCAGACTGCGCAGAATCTGAGACTGAGACGCTCCGGGACGCCGTTCCACTCGCCGGGTGGCCGGGATGTCGCTCATTGGCGAGTAAGTACTGTAGTAGCAGAGACGGGCAGAGCTGGGAGATGACGACGAAGATGAGGCCGCAGAGAAACGGTACTTATAAGAGATAGGTGCTGACGGCTGCAGTCATGTCCGCCGCTTGGACGCCTACGTCGACCGGTTACAGCTGCGAGGCCTTGCGGAGGCCGGCGTCGAGACGAGCCAGCAGCGGGAGGCCGCAGCAGCCGGGGCGAGAGACGCTACTACTACGACGACGACGACCACCACCACCACCACACAGGATGTGAGGAGGGCAGCGAGGAGGACGGGCAGGGCGCAGGAGGAACTGGGATCAGTCCATCCGCCGCTCCTTGCAGCTGCCAGAGCCCTTTCTGGGGGCCATACGCTGAAGCCGGCCAGGGTGCTCGACCACCTACGCCGTGTCCATCGCCTGCAGCAGGCCATACAAACCGCCGAGACGAGGTACACCGAATATGAAGACAAAGACGCAGAAGAAGGAGACTACGATGTACCGGCCAGAGAGTATACTACGAGTCTGCTGTGGCTGGTGGCCTCCAAGGCTACGGTGCAGACGTTTGCCGCCGTCATGAGCTCGATGGTCGACGAGACGGTCCCCCTCAGCGACGGCATCTGGTACTGGGACGAGGTGCTTGGGTCGGCCTTCTACTCGGGTCTCTACACCCTCCAGACAGCGCCGGCACGCTGGGCGAGCTACCTGATCAGCATATATCGGAACATCCGGCAGATGGGCAGCAACGATAATGGTAATAATGCTCGTCATGCTCGCAGGGGCAGCTCTGCGGAGGACCTTAGTGTTGGCAGCGGACTCCACGATGGCACCACTTTGATGGCACGATGGCGGGCCTTCTACCGGCTTGTCCACCACAGCGTCAGAGCTCGTCCCGTCTCCAGCTCCCAGGCCAGAGAGCTCGTCCTCTCGCCCTTTCAATTGGCCCGCTGCCGGGCTCGAGCTAGCCGCAGTGGCCTGCGCAGGCTGAGGGAGATGACCGCCTGTGCCGTTGGCCTGCTCATGGAGGAAGGTCTCCTCTTCGACGTGGCTGACGAGGACGAGGCCATCACTCCTCCTGCTATTATCACTCCGGATGCAGGCCCTGGTGCTAGTGCTGCCCCGGATCCAGCGCCTTCATCGTCAAAGAAACATGACAGCCCAGACGAATGGCGGGATCTCGTCTCGCGGACCACCGTGCTCATGCAGACTGTCCTCCAGCACGTCAACAATCTGGACACTGACCTGACCGGGTTCGAAGACAATGTCTTTTCCACCGTCGGGAGCGGGATACGCGCCATGGAGGAGTCGCTGGTGACTATTGACGAAACTGCTGGGACAGGCCGCTCTCCCAGCCCAACCGACCAGGCCTACCTGGTCATCCAGCTGCTCATCGACGTGCTTGAGCACCATCTCCCTCATCAGCAAGAGCAGAGCCGCCTGCTTGCCTGCAACTATGCCCGCCCCTCAAGACTGGTGCGCTACTGGCCTGCTGCATTGGCGCTCCTCCTCTCCTCCAGCACCGTGCTGAACATCCTCACCAGCAGACAGGCAGAGCTGCTCACCTGGCTGCGCGAGCTCGGGTCGACCGTGTCCGACTTTTGGACAAACTGGATCATCGAGCCTCTGACCAGGCTGGTGGGCACTATCCGGCACGATGAGAAGAGCGAGGTTGCTCTCATGAGCAAGAACAGCCTCGACGCCGACTTCTCCAGCCTCGAGCGCATGGTCGTCGACTTTGTCCGCACCCGCCCGTCTCAGGACCTTGGCCTCTCCGGCCACCCCGATGCTCTCGACCTCATCCGCCAGGGCGTACGGCAGGGCGACCTGACCCCCGTCCTGCGAGCGTACGAACGGGACCTGCAGCGGCCCTTCATCGGTGCCATTCGCGGCGACCTCGTCACTGCCTTGCTCATCCAGATCCAGAAGACCAAAGTCGACGTCGAGGTGGCCATCAGCGGCATAAACTCCATCCTCAAGAGCCAGGAGCTTGTTTTTGCGTACGTCTACGTCTATATTTTCCGGTTCATTCCTCGTCGTACTCGTTCCAGCTTGCTAACCCATTACACACCAGCTTCATCGGACTTACTCCCAGCATCCTGGTGTCCTATGCAACCGTACAGTGGGCTGCAGGCCTCCTCGGCAGCAGGAGAGGCCTACGGCAGGGCCAACGACGCAGCGAAATCGTCCGTTCTCTCCGGTTAGTTCTCTACTCTTGATAATTTTCTCTCTCCATATCACACACACGCACACACACGTCTAACAGCTTGATAGTACCGTCAACCGGATCCTGATGAGCTCTCTCCCCTCGCAAACGGGAGTCCTCTCGTACAAGGACCACGGTCTCCTGATATGCGAGGCCGAGACTCTGCGACGAAGAGCCGAGCGAGTCCTCCCAGGAGCCATCTACCATGAGTTCCACGAGGACCTGAACGACCTGCTGAACGTGAGAGCTGGCATCGCCCACCAGATGAAAGTTGTCGACCAGATCAGATGGACATATTCCAAATGGATCTACTCGTAGCACCATCAGCATCATCTCATCAGAATCCCATCAGCATCGCCTCCGCCTGCCTGTCTACACATCCTGTATATAGCTCTCCTGTCGCCTCCCAAGTACATCCAGGCCCCTGTTTTCCAGCACCCTATCCACGCCGTCCGCCGTAGCCGCTCCCCACGTCTAATCTGCGTACTCTGTAGATTCTCTGCCCTTTCTCCTGCCTCTGTACAGAGTATATGTCGTATATCTAATTCTTGATCTAATTCTAGATCTTGTTTTATTTCTGATATTTCGCCGTCTTTTCTCTGCGTCTTCTATCTCTATGTGGCCAGTGCCAAGACGAGTGACTTGTTCCTTTTGCGGCAAAGACAAAAAAAAAGAGGTCGAAACGCTGACTTCATCTTTCGACCGCCAGCAACAACTCGCCAGCCACGCCGACATCACGCAGCCGACAGACAGAGACGCGGGAAACGAGCAGACAGAGACAGGTAGAGGACGCCCCGGGCTGCCCGTTGGACTTCGCTGCCCCTTGCTGACACACGCCGTCTCACAGCTTTCACGCCATCGAAACGCACCGGAGATTAGCCATCCTCCTGCACGGCATCCAGACAGACAGACAGACAGACAGACAGACAGAGGAGACCAGGGCAACAGTGACGGCCAGAAGAGACAGATAAACAGCCCTCGCAGCCTCTCCGTCTCGCCGTTGTTTCTCCCAGACTCGATTCACCCTGGCCTTGGTTCTCGCCTGGACGGACCTATCGCATCTCGAAAACATAGCAGCGTCACTCGCAGAGCAGCCGCCTCTACCCCAGCCAACACCGCGGCCAGTGATACAGCATCGCTCGCCAGCCAGCTCTTTTTCTATCGACGGGGCCATCCACGCTGTCCCCAGACTTCCTATCGGCCCTGTGAATCTTCGACAGACCGCCCTGCATCCTCTCACAGCTTGACGTAATGGCGGGGACACGGAATTACGACTTTCTAGTATGCCTATCTTCCCCCTTCTTCATACTGCCTCTGCCTGCCCCTGAGTAGAGCTCTCATTTAGGGGCCCCAGCTACTTTGTACAGACGGCATCGATCGAGAGAGAGTACCTGGTTCCTTGTGCTGACATTCACTCTCCAGATCAAACTCCTGCTCATCGGAGACTCTGGCGTGGGCAAGTCCTGCTGCCTGCTTCGTTTCAGCGAAGACTCCTTCACCCCATCCTTCATCACCACCATCGGCATCGACTTCAAGATCAGAACAATAAACCTCGACGGCAAGCGAGTAAAGCTGCAGATATGGGATACCGCAGGACAGGAGAGATTCCGAACTATCACTACTGCCTACTACCGCAATGCCATGGGCATCCTACTTGTCTATGATGTCACTGACGAGCGATCATTCAAGAGTTCGTACTCTGTTTATCTCTGTTTATTCTCCTCGACTTTCTTCGTATTACTTCTCAAACTAATCATCAATAGACATCCGAACTTGGTTCTCGAACGTTGAACAACATGCTAGCGAGGGAGTACACAAGATATTAATCGGTAACAAATGCGACGGAGAAGAGAAGCGCGCCGTAACGGTTGAGCAGGGCCAGCAGCTCGCCAATGAGCTCGGCATCCCGTTCCTCGAGGTCTCTGCCAAAAATAACATCAACGTCGACAAGGCCTTCTACAGCCTCGCCACCGAAATAAAGAAGGACATGGATGTCTCCAAGGCGGAACAGGCTGGCTCCCAGGGCGTCAACATAGACAACCAGAACGGTGGCGCCGGCGGCTCTCTCGGGAAGTCATGTTGCTAGTTCTACGACATGTGATATGAAACATCACATCACATCACAGTCAAGACGAAGATATCCCCAGCAAGTCCGTCTCCCTTTGCTCGAGGCTCTTTCCACAACCTAACCTACCTATCTGTTCTATCACTTTTTATTCTCACTTTCTATTCTTTATTCATTATCAACCTTTTTTTTACTTTTTTTTTTTTTTTTTGGAGGGCGAGAGAGGTGAAATTCTTATTAAAGAAATATACGAGAGAAGTATCCCGACGATACGTCATGCCTCCTTTCCGCCTTGTATATTTATTCTTTGTTCATTTCCCCTCCCATTCACCTTGGTCTTGCTCGTGCTCGCGTTGCTCCTTTTTGGCATGAGACCATGTCGAGATACACATATCATATACTTCTCTCCGTCCGCTCCCCATCCCACCGTCTCTGTGTACCTCACAGGTTCCTCTTCCCGGCTGAATTGTGTGTTTATTGCTTAGAAGGCGTTTTCTCTGTTCCGAGTCTTTCCTGGTCTTTTTTTCTATCCCCTCCACCGATTGACAGGCCTTTGGTTGTTCCTCTCGTTTGCTTTCTTGTCATTGCTATGTGTGATATCTGATAAAGAATAACTGGATTGTATCTAATCGATTCTATACATGGTTCACCTTCTATCCGTAAATATACATATTATATAGTTAGGCCGAGATGTTTATACCCCTATATTATACGGGGGCTGATAAAGTGGTTCAAAAACTCTCGTCCCAGAAGAGAGCTTCGGCCTTGATCACTGGCGGCGGATCGCAATAGTCCATATCTTCCGCCTGTGGGAATTCCTTCATATGCCACGTCCTCACGAACCTCCTAGCATCAGATGCAGACCTGAACGTTACTCTCCAGTTGCTGATGTCATATTCTCCGAACTTGGGCTTCGCATGAGCCTTTTCACCCAGCGGTGTGCTGCCATCCTCCTTCCCGTTAGTCAGGAATATCACCTTATCCCAGCCCTCGATAAGATCCCAGGGAACAGATCTTCTTTCCCCATCCCAGTAAAGAAAATTGATCAGCGATTTTCTCGTCGGGCTGAGGAATGAGTCACGCGAAATGCACATTCGCACAGGATATCCAGCTGCATCCGAGGAGAATGGAACCGGTGCCGACGTTTCAGGAGGTTCTTCCTCGTCGTGCGCTATCACTCCTGTGATTGATTCCTGGGTTCTGATACAGGAGGACACCCAGTTACTGAACGGGAAGAACTCGGCGGTAATCAGGGGGAATTGCCAGGGTGCAGTGAGTGTATAGTCTTGCAATGTAAAGCCCATAGAGCCCGGAACCTCGTAGTTAGACGGAAGGTCGATGCTCGACGCCGGGTAAAACGGAGTTTTGTCTCGAAGTAGCTCACGCAGCTTGTGTACTTTCCCCTGATATGCAGCGGCCGCAGCAGGATTTGAGAAGAGAAGAATCCAACCATTCATTCGGTCCAGAGTCTTGGGATTCCGAGTAGGAATTACTATTGTACATAAGCGTCAATTAAAGTCCACTTCTGCCTGTAGTAGTAGCTACTTACTCTGCTCCAGTCCTCCCTGGCTCTTCCACCCTTCAATATGTTTTCCCGGGGCTAGGATGCGTAGAAAGTCTCTCTCTGTAAGGGAAGCTGGAGCCCTATATAGGACCAGGGCAGTCTTATGAGGCCGTTTACTCAGATTCGCGTCCGTTATTTGTAGCTGGCCCATCTTATTGATGTCCGCACCTGTGCCCTGGCTGGCAGTGCCTGGAACCATTTCCAGACCAAATTCCCGCAATAAATCCTCTCGATCCCGCATAGCCTGCTCTGTAAGATTGCGGCGAGGCTCTTTCTGGCCCCCCTGCTTGGATGCCTTTGCCTTCAGGCTGTCCAATCCATTGGGTGCATTGCTGGATGTCCACAGCGGAGCGTGCGTGGATGTAGACGATGGCCGGTATCTAGCATTTCTGCTAGGTAGTAGTGATCGCGGTGACCATACCAAAGGCCTGCATCGCATTTCGAAGGCAGAGACGAACCGATATCCTAGTTGACGGCATCAAATCTCTCGATTCTTCGTCTTCATCTTCATCTTCGGCTTCAGCTTCTCGTCCATTTTGTCCGACATTGAAAAAAGCATACAATTATCACATGATTGAGGCTCAAGTAAAAAGGTTATCAAAAAAAAAAGTAAAAAACGAACATTTTCAATTTCCAACATAAGTACTTAGAAAACACCCAGCTTAACCGGCATTTCACCTCGGTTTTTCATTGAAAGCCCACTGTCAAGGTATTTCCTTTTGCTATCATCCACTTGAGCAATTTGTGAGAATGGGAATCGCAAAGAAAACCAGAAAATTTGGCCATGTTTGTCTCCCACATCCAGTTACTTCAAGAACCATCACTAACCATTACCCAGGTAAAAAAAATAATCAGTCAAAAGGACAACCGACTGTAAGGCCTTGTCCCATATATCCTGTTGCGCATGGGAGGGAGAGACATACTGATATTATACCTTGGGGTACAGGAAGCAGAATCAGGCTAAGGCGGAAGAAAAGAAAGCGAAGGCCGACAATGTTGTCCGGGAAATGTACGACTCTCCTACTTCTGACAGCCACCTCTTCTCTATTATATGGGAACCAACGCTAACAAACCATTACCTATCCCATGACAGACCTCAAGCTCCATCTGCACTATTCTTCCAGTTCAATACCTCGCTCGCGCCACCTTACTCAATCTTAGTCGACACCAACTTTCTATCCCACACAGTCCAGCATAAACTCGATGTTATACCAAGTATGATGGACTGCCTGTTCGCGAAATGTATACCGATCATTACAGACTGTGTATTAGCCGAGTTAGAGAAGCTGGGACCAAAATACCGGCTTGCTTTGCGGATAGCAAAGGACCCTCGATTCGAAAGACTTAAATGTGACCATACCGGCACATACGCTGATGACTGCATTGTGGACCGAGTTATAAAGCACCGAATTTATATTGTCGCAACCAACGATCGTGATCTAAAAAGACGGATAAGGTGGGTTTCGGTTATCCCCGATATACATAGAGAGCTGCGAATGATTTAGTACTGACGATGGAGTAATAGAAAAATTCCCGGTGTGCCGGTTATGAGTGTTGCCCGGGCTAAATACGTCATCGAACGACTTCCTGACGCCCCTGAAAAGTGAAGATAATCTCGAGTCATGATTTTGTCCACATCAACAGCCGTACCCCGGGTCTGCTAGGGGTTATGAGGTTTAGCATCTCTCAGGAGTAGTGTCCATTGTGACTATACTTGGCAGCGCCTACTTTGAAAGACTAGATGCTCACAAGCCATAACTTTGTTCGCTCCTAGATGTGGCTTCCACCCTGTACAGTCGTATAGGATTACAAGGTTCTTCAGAATCGTGTAAGGGCCTTCGTTATGGCTTAAGAACTGTGGCTATTCTGTGCTCTTTGGAGTGGTTTAACAGTCCAGCGATAACATGGACCGAGGAGGTCCGCTAGATGTGCAGGTAAGGGGCGGGCTCGGCTTACTCGGTCTATGTCACGAGCTTTCCCTGAGCACGAAAAAGATACGCGGTCTGTAGCATAGCTTCCGTCACATATAACCAATATCTCGCACGATATTATTATAATGACATTGCAATATATATAACGCCTACGGTATAGACAACGTAAATACATATATACACTATCCCTATAGGCAATAGGAAGTACGACAATATAAAAAAGGAAAAAGCAAATAAAAATATTAATGTCATTCTCCTTTCCAATGCAAGTGCGTCCGTCCTATTGATGACGGTGAGAGGGCTATAGAATTATCAGGATTCAAATGCGGTATGTTATTAAAATTAAGGGAAGTCATGGGCACACGAAGTTGACGAATCATTCAAGATACGGGTGATTGGGCTTCAGAGCTGTCAGGCCTTGAAGTGCTGGCTTCTAAATAGTCTGAAGCTCGAATACCTTCATGTTTCTTGTAATGCTCGATATCATCTTCGGCAGATTCCTCGTCACGACAGTCATCTTCGAGGTACGTATCCGTCCACTGGGCGGAGTCAGTCTGAGAGGTCTTCGAATTCATACTTAGACTACTTAACCTGCGCTCAATCGGTGGTGTAGGTTTATTCAGCTCAAATGTTGGACTGTTTTGCACCTTTGGTGAAGCATCTCGCTGAAGAGAGGAGACAGGTTTCTTGCCGCTAGGGCTCGACGGTCCGTTATTCGGTCCAGTGTTCGGCGAGGCCTGACAACGCGGCAAATCATGCTGGCCTATAACCTCTTCTCCCTGGTCAGTTGCTGGGACGTTCATCGGTTTGGCCCGTTCCTCTCGAGACTCTAGATCGTCTGATTCACGGGCAGAGGCGGTATAGCCAAAGTGAGTATCGACGAAATGCTTGACAACTGGCCAGCCATAGGCATTGGCAAACATGCGGCGGACGATTATGTTGTTATGGGCATCTGGTTCTAGGCGGACCAGAACTTTGCGCCAGGTTAGATCACGGTGGTAAGCTCTTGCAATCTTCTCTTCTACTTTCATGCCACTGCTGCGCTTCTGGGGTACCTCGGTTGGTGTTTTGCTACCATCAGAAGCCCCAGCCTGTGAACCAGTGTTCTCCATCGAGGCACTTCGGCTGATACTGTAACTTGGCGATCGAAACATAGTTCGAGGCCTGGTGGGTGGAGGTGGAGGGATATCATCAGGGTGATACACCCGGTCATGGAATATGGTTCTAGGTCGTGACGACGGGTCTATAAGATATTCAAGTGGAGGCAGAGGTGGGCTGAGAACGTCACCGGCAGACTCGAGGATCGTTGTTCTTGGAGGAGTATACCAGCCCTCTTCCTCATCGTACAGAGAGTCTCCACGGACGAGACCCTTTCTCACTGGAGGTGTAGTCAACTCCGGGTTGCTTGTGGGCGCAGCCTCTTCATTCTGTGTATCGGTATGAAGCGTCTGCGAACGTTTATATATCTTTTGCCCCTTGTTCTTCTTTTGTGGTCGGAAGAAGGAAAAGAAGCTGTTGACGGGCCCGGGAGACGCAGGTGACGTAGGTGAGCTGGCTGGACTTAGTCTCTGGGGCGATGTCAGGGCCGGGTCACTTTCTGACTGTAAGTACTGACTGGCCAGAGGCAGTCCAGGTGAGCTCTCTCCGCTGGCTGGATGAGGTGTTAGACGAGGTGACTGAGCGCCTGTCTTGCTGCTACTCTCCTGGGCCTTGTCATCTGCCGAACCAGGCGGGCGAGCGACGACGCGAGCACTCGAATTAAGGCCAGTCAACTGCGCCCATCCCCATTCAGCTACTGTTCCGACGAGACCATTCTCCCGCCTTGCTTTCTCAACTCTTTCGAGGCCTCTCCAATCAAGGAAGAGGAGACAGGAGGTACGCAGGGGAACAATGCCATCATTGACAACATTTGAATATATGGTACGATTCCTGAACCTTTTCAACACCTCATGGGCGGCACCGCTGGGCAGGACACGGAGGAGAGGCTTCGATCCTGGGTCCTGACCATGAGCACGGCTTGCATCACTTCCCAGCCCTCCTATCATGGCTTCCCATCCACTACGGACTTTTGAAGGAGCATTCCACGCCAGGCCAAGGTCCTGACCTGTTCGACCAACAAGTCCAAAGTCGAGGGCAAACTTGACGTACATGGGGTTTTCATTGCTTAGGCCGAGGAAAGGAGAGGCAAAGGCGACGAAGTTGATGGGTCTGATATAATCGAAGAAGTCTGGGCAGTGCTTTTGTATATATGCAATGGCATACGTCTGGACGAGACCCCCGAGGGAGTGGCCTATAAAGCTGATGCTAGTGATCTGATAAGCATACTCCTTTTGTCGGCAACCGTGACGTTCGCTGTCTCCAAGAATTTGACGAGCCTGTGGCCGTCTGAGTTTGTTCTTAGACTTCAGCGGTAGGTACGGCTGATCTGGGTATGTCATGAGCTGGACGTACTTTGCCAGCCGCTTGCCCAGGTATTGGATGCCGCGCTCTGTCCTCACTGCGTTTCCAGGAAATCCCCTGACGATCACGTCTTCTTCATCATCTTCCTCGTTTTCGGCAGGATCTGTGCCGTTTGACGATTTCTTCTGTTTTCTGGCCTCCTCTCGGGCGTGCTTTGCGGCAGCATCGATGCTCTCCTTGAGGTAGAGCATGTCAGCACCAAGATTACTATGGAGTCCATGTGTCACGAGAACAAAATGTATCTTCTTGCGTTTCTTTTTCGGTTGCTCCTGTTGGGAAGAAGAGACTTCCGCTGGCCGATCCGTGGCAGAGGCGGTGGTATCGCTCTTACTACCACTACTACTCTCTGCCGAAGAAGGAAACGGTGGCAGGTTCCATAGGCTGGCGGTGTCGTCTACCCGTAGCTTAATAGACTCTGAGTATACACCAGGCACTCTACCTGGCCGTTCACGCTTCTGCTGGTTCTTCGACGGCCCGGGTTTGGCATGGTCCCGAAGCTGGCCGGGAGGGGGCAAGTTGGCCATGGCGGGAGCACCCAGCTCGACAGAGGCAGCATCCCGGCCAACCAGAAGCTCGTACTGCACCGAGGCCGTGGAGGAGAAGATGATCTCTGACGATATGTCTATTATCCAGGTCACGCCCGTCGTAGGTGTCGCAGTAGAAGACCCAGCAGCTCCAGCTGACGGAGACCGGACTCGTTCGGGTACTTTTATGACAGCATCCCAGGCTCCTCCCGGCTTCAGATTAGGCTCGAACTGCGGCAGGCCGTCAACTTCATGCTGGTCAAACTTGCGGTTGGGATCGAAGGCAGCTGGCCGACAGGAGACATGCAACGCATAGGGCCCATGGAGGTATGCAGCACGCAGAGGAGTGGCCGCGGTGTTCCGGAGCTTGACATACAGCTGTGAGGGCGTGGGTAGGATGCGGTCTGCGGAGGGCGTGTAGGTCAGGGTGTATCTACACAGAAATAAAAGTCAGCAGTGTACATACACACAACGGCTTATGCGGTGGGCCAGCAAACCGCTTACCGAGCTACCTCGCCGACCTTGAGACTGCCGGCCTGGTGGACGAGCAGCATCTCCGCTGCCCGCCGGGTCTCAGCAGGAGGCACACTCCAGCCACGCAGGGTACGAAAGGTCGGATGAGCTTCAGGCGCAAGGGAGACGCCGCTGTCTGGGGTCTGCGAAAGCCGGTACGTCCGGGGAGTCACCAGCATCTGCTCGCGCACTCCTCTGTCTGCGGTTGAGCTCGTTTTCTCCGGCTGTTTTTGTTTCTGTTCGTCGTCGTCGTCGATTTGATAGTAAGTAACCAGTTGGGCCGGATAAGGTGAGGCTGAGTAACGGTATTACACGTATTGTATGACAAAGCAGGCGCCGCAAGTGACAATACGTGAATATCAATTACATCACGAGCTGGCAAAACTGGCGCTGCGAAAGCCGAATCTCAATCTGCCCTTGAACGGCCTCGTCTGGCTCGTTCTCACGTCTGGCGGGCTGCTCGGGCAGCAGGATAATCCTCCCGTCGACGCAGACCCTCCGCCAGCGCTCGTCCGGCTCCGCCACCCGGATTCTGACGGCCTCGACGGCGGCGTAGGCGACCTCTGGCTGGTCGACATGCTTGCCTCCCGCGTACGCCAGCGCCATCAGCTCGCCGGCTCTCTCGGATGGGACGGGCCCGAAGTGGACTATCCGTAGCTGTTTCTCGAGCGGCGCTGAGGCCGGCGAGATGGTAAACCCCTTTTCGAGCTGCGAGGCCAGCGTCACCAGCACGTACATGTGGCATGGCCGGTCGACCACCTCTTCTTCCTCGCCGGCTCGGACAAGGACGAGCGAGCCTGAATAGCTGTGGGAGGCGCTCCCGTCAGCGGGCTGAAGCAGCTCCTGGGCGGCCATCTTGAACCTGTCGACGCCGAACCGCCGGTATGCTGCAGTATCGCTGTCTGCCACCAGCGAGGCATGCAGTCCCCAGCTCACGACCACCACCCCGTACACCTCTGCCCGCTGTCCCGCCGCTGCTACCGGCTCCCTCCCGCGTCCTTCGTCCGTCACGTACATCGATCCCGGCGGAAATCGCACACAAAAGGCCGGGAGGTCTGCGGGTGAGCCGCGGACCAGCCTTGACAGCCCCCAGGTCGAGTCGGCCAGCAGACCCGTAGAATTGGCCAGTCCGTTGCCCGTCCCCATTGGCACAAGGCAGACGACAGGCCGGACAAGCGTAGAGGCATCTGGAGCTTCGGCCAGCACGCGGATGACGTCGACCAGGCCGCCGTCGCCGGACATCAGAATGATCGTCTGCTGGTTGCCGGCCAGCGCCTGCGGGAGGAAGACGGTTCTCGCCAGGCGGGTGATTGTCTCTGCCGACTCGGTCTCATGGACTGTATAGTCGCCCTCCGGCCGCAGCTGCAAGAGTAACGGTTTGACTACCTGCTGGAGGAAAGACGAGGCCTTCTGGGTGCCGGACAGCGTCGAGACGATGACATGAAGCCGGACGCTGGCCGCGAGATGGGACGGCCGGCCGTGGCAGAGGGACGAGTATCCGGGCAGAGACGCAAGGCCGGACAGCTTCAGCGTCTCCAGACGAGCTGATTCGCCGTCTTCATCGTGCTGCAGATAGAGCAGCCTGTCCTCGTCCTCGTCCTTGTTCTCGTTCTGTATGATGGCGATGATGCTGTCTGCCGGCACTGTCGAGCGCGCGTCCTGAGTCTGCCATTCGAAGTGACCCTGAGAGAAGCTGGCGGTCGAAGGGACCCCGTCTACTCGTCCCTGAACTGCTTTGTCCATTCTGGTATATATATTTTGTATGTCTTTCTTTGATGTTGATATAATACGTTGTTGGCGCTGAGATATAATTTATACTGATATCAACCAGCGTTGCGGCTGAAACCCCCACTCGTATATACTTATATATATAGATATATATATAAATCTCATGTCTATCATAACTATATATCTCGTAACCGTTTTATCTATAGGCATTCAATCATCAATAGACAAGGGGGATGGCAGCTAGTACTCGAGAGAACCGCCGACGTGCGACCAGAACTCCTGGACGAGCTCACGCTGTCCCTTGCCCCCCGGCGCGCCCCTGACGGCCAGATACCGCCTCGAGTCGAGCTTTGCCTGCCACTGGCCCGGGTTGCCGTCGACCATGATGCCACCGGCCTCAGCCAGGATGATCCAGCCGGCGCAGACGTCCCAGGCCCAGCAGCCGCCTTCCCAGTAGAGATCCAGCACGCCCGAGGCCACGGCACACAGGTTCAAGGCAGCCGAGCCCATGCTGCGCATCGAATGCACCATCGCGCCGCCCTGCTCCTTGGACTTGCCCAGGCTCTCAAACGTACGCAGCTTGACCTCCCAGTTGGGCCCTGAGCGGTCTGAGCCCCATTCCACGGCCACCAGGGCACTGCTCAGTCCCATGAGCGGCTCGACATCCTCTCCCCGAAGCGGTAGTTTGCGAGTGCGGTTCATGAACGCCCCGCGGCCCTTGACGGCGCTGTAGAGCGTGCTGGTGAACGGGTTGAAGACGACTCCCACGACAGGCTGCTGGTTGATGGCAAAGCCGAGCGAGATGCAGGCCGAGGGGAAGCCGTGGACAAAGTTGACGGTGCCGTCTATTGGGTCGACAACGAAGGTCGGCTCGTCTGTCAGTGGCTTTGACGGGTCGTACGTCTCTTCTCCCATGAACCTGATGCTCTTGCGGTCAGTTATTGCTTGTTCTTGTTCCTGGCTATAGGGGGTCGTCGACGCACTGGTAGTGAGGGTACTTGGTACGCAGAGCCTCTGAGACGACGGCCTCGACAGCGCGGTCGGTCTCAGTCACCAGATCGGAGCCTGGTCTGCCGGTTAGTTCCTGATCTATAGGCATACGAGAGCGAGAGCGTCTTCCTACTGTTCTTCTTGGAGCCGACGCCGTTGATGAGCGGGTGGGCGCTGGTGATCATCTCGCCCGCCTTGCTGGCCAGGTCGACCAGGAAGTCGTGGATCTCGGCCAGGTCGGGCGTCTCGGCCATCTTGACTGGCTGTCAGTCTCTCTATCAGTCTGTCTATCGAGATGGGCCTCAATTGATGATGGTAGCAAGAAGTTGATGGCGGAGGGAAGAAGCGCAGAAGAAGAAGTGCTCTCTGCTTTGTGATGACGCCGGCCAAGATGTTTCTTTTCTTTTGCTGGGCATCAAGTCACCCGCCATCTGCTCACTCACAGTCCTGAAATATTATTAGAACAGAGCCAGCAACGCCATGATATCCTGCAATCTGGGGCGACGCATTGGATATGTCCACCAGCATCTCACCAAGGGCATCGCAGGGCACCTTTTGAAGATGCCAGAGCTCGTAGACAGCCGCCTTGCAGTCAGTACCCGAGATGCTGCTGTATTTCACATACCAGGGACGTAAGTCATCTCGCAGACAAAAGTGCGAGCAGCCTCACGAACGGACGATGGTATGCCATGTATATAATCATTCTTGACTCGGCCGGTTTATATTTCCCGCTGTCAGATAGCAGGACATCCTACCGTTGGGTGGGATCGTTGTCGAAGGCACACAGCCGCGAGACAACAGCCATTAAAAGAATGGACCCAGATGCGTGCGTAGTGCAAGAGACGGCAAAAGAAGATGATTCTTATCCAGAAGAAAGAGAAAGACGAAGAAGAAGAAGAAGAAGAAGAAGAAGAAGAAGAAGAAGAAGAGAGAAGCAGTGATTCAGGGCGTTGTTTTTATAGTAAACATTTGGTATCGAAGCTCCATCCTGTCAACAGGGCAGAAGCAACAACCCCCCCTTGATAGCTAGCCGACCAACCAAGTATCAAGTGGTTATACGCCATAGGAGGGACTTGATAGTAGTAATTTAACTGAATATTCTCCATTTGCTCGGCCATCTTATAGTCAGTTGGTTAACGAGCAATCCCACAAAGTCGTGTCGAATTTTGCAAATAACTAACTAGTTAACTAGTTAGTTCTCAAGTTTCATAGTTATTCAACTTCAACATTTGACCATAACTAACCAAAGACAGACTTCCCATCAACACCAACATCGGCCAGGATGGGCATTCCACGCCTCAAAGGACATCTTCTACGGTATGAAGAAGCCGTCTGGCTGGGGAGAACAGCGCCGCAGGGCCAGGAAAATACCCGAAACATCACCTCCGTGGTCATCGATGGCCCTGCGTTGGTCTACCATGTCTACTACGGCCTCATGGCGGCCATGGAGCAGCATCTCAACCCGTTCTCAGCTCAGCCTGCTAGCGACGAGGTGAGCGTCGGGGTCATGAAGATGCTGCTCCATCTTCGTGCCATCGGCGTCACTGTGTATGTATTTATGTATCCGATCAATAACCAACTAGTTAACTAGTTAGTGGTCTTTGCGAATTAACCAAATTTTAGAGAGAAAATCTATTTTGATGGAGCCCTCCCGCCGTCAAAGCGAAAAGTACGCCTGGAGAGGATGGCCAAACTCGCCTCGAAGCTGCAGCAGGCCTGTCAGGCAAAGAAGCACGGGTTCAAGAGTGGTACTGTGGCGGGAGGCCGGCCATCGCTTGATACCAAACTGTGCTTTAGTCGTCGCCTGGTGAATCCCAAATTCTACGGCTTGCCTGATAACCCATTCATGGTTGCTACCGTTGCCGAGGACTTGAAGTATCGGTGGAGCTGGCAAGCCATCAAGTGCTACCATGATCTCAACGACGCCGAAAAAGTCCATGGCTCCTTGTTCCCGTGGGCAGATATCACGGAAGTCGTCCTGGGCGAGGCGGATATCTTCTGTGCCGAAGCCGCAAGAGAACGAGGCTCTGCAGTGCTAACGGGAGATTCAGACCTTGTTATACATGATCTGGGATCTGATGGCTCTGTTGTGTTTTTGGAGTCCATTGAGATGTACGAGTTCCCGGATACCAATGAAAGCGAACTTAGACTTCCGTCCTTTGGTGTGCGAGCGAAGGAACTCCGTCCATCCAGGATCGCCAACCAACTAGGCATCAGGAATCTATTGAGAGTGGGATACGAGTTAAAGCAGGACCCGTATGTGAAGTGGTCTACCATTTCAAAGTTGTGTCAGGCTGCAGAAAAGAAATCAAGAGTGAGTTCGTCTTACGGTGAGTTCCTAGCCGAATATAACACTCGTCCCTTTTCGATAAAGGGCAACGATAACGGCATTGAATTTCCCCTTCTTGACTCAAAGGTCTCGGAGCTGGTAGCTCAATATCATCATCCAAGCTTCCATGCAGATGGCCACCAGCTGTACTCTTACCTGCCCGTGATGACAGAAAACCATGCTCGTAGGTGTGCCTGGGTTGACTGCAGTGACATCAGAGCCCTTGGATACTCTATATTCAACATATCCTTCCCGAAGAATAAAAGAGGAGATACGGTCCTTGAGCATGCACGGAGAGGCCAGAGAATAGTCCCAACGCCCATCACATTACTAAACGAAGACCCCCTGTCACTGGCTGCTAAGGAACTGCTTGAACAGATACAATCAGTCCGGCTCTCTTCCGGGAGCGAAAGCATATATTTCTGGGTATCATATGCTCTACTTCGCATTTATTCGGATGCGGAACACTCTAGTCTCCCAAAACCAGACGCCATTATCAAGTTCTTCAAGTTCGGCTATATGGGATGTTCTCTAACGTGGGATGACCTCCACCTGCGGGCTCAAGTGCTATGTACCCTCTACTCTCTTCGTATGCTTAAACAGTTTCTGCAGGTTTCACTGTTTACAGGCGATGCTGAAGTCCAGAGAATAGGAAAGCCACTTTTAGATATGTTGGTTGAACTCCCTCCGCTACGCATATTATCCGAAGCTGGAATATGGCTCAACTCATGTACGGAGAAGGATATGAAGTCGATGTCAGATACTATAAGTACACTGTTTGAATGCTTGGGTAGTTCTCAGATCCCTGTTTCGGACGCAGATCTGGAGCAGGAGGAATCTGGAGATATCAAAAAGGATACCCCGAACCGGAAGAAGAGGAAACGGGAGAAGAGGACAACAAACCCTCCAGCCGTAGCGCGGAGGCGACAAGCCTCTAGCAGTAATATGTATGATATTCTGCAAAGTACCTCTGATCCTTAGTGAACCACATTTATCCGGTTCAGGGTATGAAGATATTGACAGAGGCACGCTGTGAGATACTGAAATACCCATTGATACGAGGGTTTGGATAACCGGAAAAGTAAGAGTTATCGCTATGAATTGCCAAAATATATCTTTAGGCTTTACCAATCTGAGATCCTTCTGTAAACCTGACAGGAAGGAAAATCCATACACCATCCTAATCTCCATTCACTGCTGGGTAAAGCATATCTTCATGAGCTATCCAGGTTAGGATCCATTCCAAGAGCGAGTGCATACTGAAGCTGAATAGCTAAAGCTTCATCGTCTGCTTCTTGCTCCCGCCTTCTATCAATCTCTTCCTGATAGCAAACTGGATCTCTAATATCAACAGCTCCGCCGGGTGGCACTGCATTGTCTGGTATATCCACATAGTTGAACCACGGACAATCACAAGTCTTCCACTTTAACCCACAGACAATACAGAACTGCGCTGTGCATCGACAAGTGATGTGGTTGCAACCTTCCTTCAACTCTACCATCGCAGAGCAGTTATAACAGCGTCTCCAGCCTTCTTGTTCCGCAATCTCGGCAAATTGGATAGACCCTTCGTCCTGCGGGCAGTCTTCATCTTTATGCCATTTCTCACCACAGGTACAGCAGACCATTATTTTACAGCGACTGCAGACTCCGTATCTACGCCTACTGGCACCACGGGAGCCTGTAGCTCTATATATATTTGCTGGGGGTATCCATTTCTCACAGCCCTTTGATGGACAGTATATCCGGTTCTTAGTGGTATATTCCCTAAACTTCTGGTTCCACTTCAACTTGAACTTGAGGTCGAATAAGTTTTCAACATGTTTCAGGGGTATGTGATCTGACGTGCAGCACCGCGGAGGCATATGCTGTGGGTCTGTGATGGAAAGGGTGAATGCCCGCCTTAGACATCCGTGGCATATTCTATGTGAGCAGGCAAGCTTTGCTGTTTTAGAGGCAGTAATATCATCAGACATGCAAACAACACATGTCACTCTGCAAAAATATTAGTATTGTAGATAGTTACGTGGCTTGTAGCGGAGGATCTGGATTGCGTACTGTCTCTCTGGTGGCAAGACAATCCTAGGATTGAACATTCTTATCAATAACGGCGACGGACTGCTTCTTCTGTCATCATTTATGGGACTAGCAGTTGGCTTTTGGCCAGGGGTTTTAGTAGGGTGCGCTCTCTCCTTCTCCTCAGGAAGAGGGCGGACTCTTGTAGAGGCACGAGCACTATGAAGGAGTTAGCTCTTCCAACCAACACCAATATATATGGATATTGACTGATTGACTGCCAGTCTAAAGAAAGAAAAAAAAAAAAAATGGAAGAATCTTACTTCAAGGGATGGTTATCAATTCTGCCCAAACTTTGCTTGGTATTCTGAGCTGGATGGCTAGTATTCCCGCCAGATCTACTGGCTCCAGCATCTGGATGATATCGATGATTACGATGTCCTGTATGTACTAGCAGAGATGACCGGCAGACTCGTTTTTCTTTCTTTGGCCGCCTCTCAGGCTCAGCTGCCCTATCTCCTTCTATCTGTTCGATCGGTTCGCCTTGTATGCGTCGGCGATGGTGGTGATGGAAATGACGGCGCTTATCCGGAGTTGCTGGAGCGTCTGCTTCTTCCATGTTGGTGCCCTCGATATGCTTGACACCTAAGTTAGGGAACGAAGGATATCCTAAGTAGACGTCAAGTGTCTTGATCAAGCTTATTGACGCTTTTGTAGAGCGTTCGTGGCACGTCGTCATAGCAAGGTAGTTGAAGCCTTCAAGGTTTGGATTTCTATTGGCAGGAAATTTCCCGCGATTCTTAAATGGGGCGCCCCTGTCAAGCAACTGACCCCTAGGTGGTGAATGCTGGATGATACATGTATTATATATCACAGTAAAGGGCAGGCATTTCACTTTAGTCCTCTGCAGTGATCGTAAGAAATGTGAATATTCGGCGTATGTAGATTATTTATTACACCGCGTGAATATGAACAAATGGCCATGACAGATGCTTTTGTCCACCAGTCAAATAGCTATCATTACAAGATCCTAGGAATTTCTGAAAGCTCCAAGAGGCAAGATACATCGTAATGGACTCAATATCGTCTTAAATGCCAGGAGAGATGAAAATCAAGCTTCTTTGATAACACCAGGTCGCAACAGCTTGTCCTCCTTTCCAAAGACAGAAACATCCTTGACGATCCCAATGAACCTACGATGGTTCTCTCTGGAGTTTCCGAGGCGCGATCGAAACATACGGAGGAGATCGTTGCTCAAGATTCCGTTTGCAGGAATAGCAGCGTGAATTTCAGAAGCAGTTGGGAAAGAGGCGGGTGGGGGAGCCCCGGCACCAGGGTTGGCACCCGAGACCGACCCTCGTCGAGATCCGGAACCAGAGGGAGTAGAAATGCCTGTATCTACCAAGTTAGTTATGGCATCCATGATATAAAGGGGAATGTATATGTGTAATGAGAGGAACTAACCACGAGAACTCTCGGGGCTGCTGGCCCGGCTACCGGTCACAGCTTTGCCAGCAGGAGTAGGGCTTCCAGCACGAGAACCAATTGGAGTTCCGGTCTTTGACTTGGCACCTGGAACGTTAAGCTTCATTCTCTTTGCCATAGTACTATCACTCATTTCAGCACCAGAGTTGGCGGCTTTTTCAACATCACTTGCAGATCCAGCCTTGCCTGGAACAGTGCGGATACGCTTCTTTGCACCGGCAGCGGTTTGAGCAGTGCTGGACGTGGCATCGTTTGCGTTAGCAGTACCAGAGCTCTTTCTCTGCGCTTGGGGAACAGGAGAAATAGGTCTAGAGGTAGGCTGAGAATTGGAGATTTGGGCAGAAAGATGCTTGTTCTTCGGTTTCTTTCGGGAGGAATCTGTGCCACTGGCGTCGGAGAGGTTTGGGGATCCAGGACGTTTGCGAGCGGCAGCTTGTGCTCTCTTCAGCGGGTCAGTATGCTTAGGGCGCCCAGACGGGGTATTGGTGCCTTTGGTAGATGTCCCCGAAGGTTTGTCAGCCTGGTTATCTTTTCGCTTGGGGTCTTCTTCCGACTTTTTCTGCTCCTCCTTTTGGCGCTCTAGTTCGGACTCATCCGTACTCTAAAAAAAAAACAGTTAGTTGAATAAGAAACAAGACAAGCACAATGCAAAATGCAAAATTACCTCATCATCAGAATAAGGGTTTGCATCAGATCCGCTACTGTAATCAAAATTCTTCTCGCGTCGCTGCAACGCCTTTCGAACCTGTTTGCCAAAGCTTTTGAGATCTTCCTTTTGTTTCTTCTCTAGGTGCTCCTCTTCATCATAGTCCTTTTCATCTTTGAGATCAAAGATGTTTGCCTTTAGCTGGTCTTGTTTGATACGCTTTTCTGCAGTTTTGGCATCTTCATCATCATCAAACAGCCCAACATGTTCCTCGTCATCTGCAAATCTATCTTCGTCGAAGTCCATATCGTCGCCTTCGAAACGATCAGTGACTGGAGCGTTTCGAGACTGCCCAGTATAGATTTTTCGCTGTCTGGCATATCTTTGAAGCTCTCTCTCTTGGGCTCGTGCTTGTTCCTTTTCCATGAACCATCGGGGGTCTCTAATCTTCCTGGCCATATGCTTCTCTGCCTCTTCAATGGTCAAGACCTTGAACTGATTTTTGGCAGTAAATTTGTACCATTTATCGATGGGTATCATTCGCATCTTCCCGCTGCGCTCCAAAACAAATGTGGCGTATGTCTCTGACATGGCAGCCTCATACTTGCCAACCCAAATATTTTTATTATCAAAATCTTCCAGATGCCAAGGTAAGGCCTCCTCATATTTAATCTGAGACTTTGCGGCCTCCTCTGGTGTGATGATAGATTTGAATACTTGCTGTGTCCGCTGCTTAGGGGCGTTCACTTTCTTGGGTCCTGAATTGACGGAGGGAGCAATCTGCGCCAGGTTATCCTCACGTTCTTTAGCCCGTGCTTCTTTCTTAGCTTCCATCTCCTGGCGTTCGGCCTCAGTCAGACCAGCGTAAGGGTCACGGAACCCTCGTCGGGGATTTGCATCTTCCTTCTCATTTCCTGCTGGAGAGGTGGTTGTAGCTCTTGGATCTCGTCGCTGTAACCTTACGGGGCGTGTAAATTGAGATTCATCCCTGGGGTCCACGCTTTTCTTTGATATGAGCTTTGCGATGTGGTGCCTTAATCCTTCTCTGAGCGCACGTTTTGTTGTAACTAGCGGGTAGTCCGAGTACGTTTCAGAGAGCAACGGACCGCTGAAGCCGTTGGTAGTGAGATCGTCAGCGCTGGGGATAGGTTTTGGTTGTGGAAGCGTGCTCGCCGGAGGTTGATGTCGTGGAGGCTGCAGCGGAAGGGTCGACGTCCCATTTGCGGTTGTAGGCCTGACCTGACCTTGCATATATCCCTGAGGCTGACCCTGGGGCTGAGGCTGGCCAGGAGCAGTAGGTCGTGGAATAGGTCGTTTCTTTGGTCGAACGAGTGGATCGGCTGGCTTGGGGCGCCGTCTGACCATAAAGGGTCCATTCGGTCCTCCCGGGGGAGTTCTACCTAAGGGTGGATTTGGCGGAGTCGTTGAACTCATGATTCCAGGCCCTGGCTATTACCTCAGATAGGGAAAACGGCCAAAACTACCATTGGAGCTGGCAGCGGAAGCTCTCTCACGAGCTGTCTGTCTGGCGGCTGCACTCAGTACCCAACCGTGATGAGCGCGAAGCCAGCGACTGAAGGGTTAGAAGCGTTCACTGTGTAAAAAGGGAGTTTTTTCTAGCAGCTCCGTATTCGTATCCTCTGCTAGTAGGAGGGAGGGTGTCTGTCAGGGCGAGATGTTTGGTATTGTGATAATCGACGTCGCTGTCGCTTTCTTTGACGTCGAAGACGCCTAGATGTGTCACGTGCACAAGTGACTAAGCTGTTTGTCAGCAAGTCGTTGACGTCAAAGTTGGTTTTTGGTGGAAGAAGACGAAGTCGAGAAGACGGCGAAGAGCCGGCAAGAAGATGCAGACGATGAAAGAGAAGATGAATCCGTGATGGCCGAAGCCTTAGGGCTCCTAGCAGGTGGCTTTTATCCTCTATGAGGAGCGGGGGACACTGAGTTTTCAGGAGGACGGCCTACAGACCTCAATACCCAAATATGCCATTGAGCTTCAGGATAACAATGCTCCCTTTGCTAGTTATTCATGCAGCCAGTTATAAAGCATTGACTTGTCGCTCTGGGTTGTTTCCCTGATAGCTCAATACCCATGGCAGTTTACTTTTTAGAATAGAAAGATGGCTCCCAATACGCCCTTTCTACTTTGCAGGACCTTTTGATATTCAGAACGTTCGAGACCAAATCCACCCACCAGATGAGAGGACAAAGAATGCACTAAAAGGACAGAAGAAGACCGAAGAGCATAGAAGAGAAAGACGCGCTAGTGAGAAATCTCTAACTAGCAGGACAGGAGGGAGATTTCTGGTGAGAGAGCTGTCCTAGCCTACCCACTAAGGCACCAGTCTGCATTTATAAATAGAGACGTTCTGCCCGCCCACCTAATTTCTTTCTCTTCTTCTTCTTCTTCTCCTTTCAACGCCTCCTTTATAGTTGTGTTCCTGGCTGTCTTTTGTTCTTTTCTTCTCATCATGGAGCCCACTGAGCTAGTCCGGCTACCAGATGAACCCGCCGCCGCTACAAATGCAGATATAGCACCGGATAGTGAACTACCTGACTATACCACAGGATCATGGTCATCGCGATGTGGTGCCTCTAGACCCCATTTGGTGGGCTCTCCAACAAACTTTGCGGTGGGCTTTCCTGCAGCACCCCCCAACGTGCCAGCCAGTGACTCCATCAAGTCCCCCCAGTCTCCAGCAGAAGAGTGGGAGGGCTCTGGGACCATCGCTTATATTACCGACAAATCCATCAAGAAGTTCCTGAATCTGCCTCCGGAGGTCCACCAGCGCCTCCAGCTCGCGAGTGCCCAGCTCGCTGCTGAGCATATGATTGCCCGAGGGGCAGCAGAAGCAGAGAGCGAGTCACTCGGCCAGTGGCAGCGTGGCCGTCGACTGCCAATCCATATCTCACCAAATTCCGCCGTTCATCAGTATGAGTTGGCTCGTTTCGAGCTTGATCGTCAAGCCGGCCTTGTACCCATGGCAAAGCCGGTGCCTACTGTGTCAAAACGAGTCAAGCCACAGATCCAACCCCATGAAATGGCAGAATTTCCGTACTTGCATCAGGTTGTCTCTGATATCAAATCCTGGAGCATCTCTCGTAGCCGCCTCGAACAGTTGGAGGAGCTGCGTATCCTGCTGTGCAGCTGGACTCATGATGCTGTCGTTGACAAAGTGAAACAAAACCAGCAGGGCGTCCAAACCGGACCCTTCTCGATCGCTCTGAAGTGCTTCGGCAGCTATCGCTCGGGCTATGCCCTTGTTGAATCTGAAATGGATCTAATCACAATCACGGAGAACCTGCCTGCTTATATCAAGCAGAATCTGCCACTTATCATGGCTCAGTCATTTCAAGCCCATGGCTTTGCATCTTATCTTTTACCCAGTATCGAGCATGACCGCTGCATGTTCCTCCGAGTTTGTCAACACCCATCCAAGCAGTTCTGCCAGAGGCTTGAATGGGAGTATCAAGACCTGAAAAATGCCAAGGAGTTGAAAGCATTTGCCATCTCACCTCTTGCCTGCTGTGATAAAAACACCCCATCACTTCATTATAACATTTATTTTGACCGCATAGAGACGCTGGCATACCGGACTGATCTTCTCAGAGGCTATAGGGCCTGTGATGACCGCGTCTATGAAATAACAGTAATAGTGAAACGATGGGCAAAAGCACGCAGAATCAATAACCCTTATAATGGCACCTTGTCTTCATATGGATACACGCTCATGGTACTGCACTATCTGATGAATGTTGTAAAGCCACCTGTTATTCCAAATCTGCATAGATATGCACTACCAGAGGGCGCCACAGAGCAGGACACATCCTTTACCCGCAGTCTTAGAGTGATTTCTCAAGAAGCAGCAATTGGCAATATTACCACCAACACTCAGTCAACTGCCTCACTTCTCTATGGCTTCTTCGCTTACTACTCTTCTGTCACCAACGACCCAGATCTATACCCACGGCGTAGGCACATGCCCTGGTTCCACTGGAGAGAAGGAGTGGCTTCCATTCGCGGGCCATACACCAAGAAGACATCAAAGGGCTGGGTAACTTACTTCAAGGACGTGAACGGTACTGTACACAACAATTTACTCGCCATCGAGGATCCGATCACACGAAACATCAATGTCGCGGATAAAGTCACGCTGGTCGGAGTATATTTGATACGGGACGAATTTGCGCGCGCATTCCGCATCGTCTCACTTGCCAGGCCAATGCCAGGCACAGATTTGGCGTGGCAGACGCCGGACGGCGCCAGATGCGAGGATCTTTTTGCTGAGCCCACTGCTAAAGCCAAGCTTTGATAGCACTTTTAATAGTCTATCCTTTCCTATGTTGTTGTTAATATGTTTTCCCTTTACTAAATTGCATGCCCATTAAAGTTGGTAAAAAATTAAGTTAAAAAAGACAAGACACCCAAAAATACAATGCATATGATATTTATTGAATTTATCAATTTTCCTGAGTAGAAGCCTTCCTGGCGTCCTCCCACCTCGTTTGTACATGTAGCCACCAAGTTTTTAACGCGGACGAATCAACTCCCAAGCTAGCTAGCCTGTCTGGGTCGGTTATAAACCATTCCTTATTCCTGCAGTCTTTCTCATATGCGTTCAGGCTGATACCATCCCACTCATGCGTCTTTATGCCTCTAAAAAACGCCACGGTCCCGACGGGAGGGTGAAATTCGGCTGCATCTATAAACACGCTCATCGATATTCCTACCGTCCAATTAGCTGTGATGCTAGGTGGCGATGTAGATGGTAACGAGGACGCAGTAGTCACAGACGAGCGCCGTTTGTCGACGGTTTTGATGATAGTGGGATCGATGAGCCTAAGGTCTCTTTTCGGAGGCATGTTTGTTCGTTTTATCACCTGGGGAGAGATCCACGATATCACTGCTATAACATTGCAGGGATAGTTCCTCTTGGGGAAGGGTATTCGAGGGGCGAGAAGGTCTGAGAGGGTGAGGACTTTCATGGAGGTGGACATGGCTGTGGAAGACAGTATTTTAGGTGCTGTAGAGTAGCACGGAGATACACCCAGGATATCATCTTTGAGATTTTCATCTTCGATTTCTTCAAGTAGATTAGTATCCTCAACTGCTGCCCTAAATACCATTGCCTTATCCCTCTCGGCGGTTTTCTGTCTCCTCTTCTCTTCCCGTGGGCTATCACCAGCGCCTTCGTCGGACAGTGCGGCTGCATCTCGTTTGACGAGTAGATGTTCATCCTCAAGATTCTTGAGCTGTACATCTAGTTTGAAGGGCACTGCCCGTCTATACCTTGCAACAGCCAGGAAAACAACTCTGCCAGACCGTGCACCCTTGGGTGCTAGTCTGTTGGCCGTACGTAGCTCGTAGTCTTGGATATCAAGAACCGTCCCGGGCGTCAGGTCATCCTTACTGCTAGATACGAGGACATGCAGCTCGCTCTTGAGCAAGGCCTGTATGGTGTATTCTCCATCACTAAGAAATAGTCGATACGCTTTATACACGGCTTCGTGCTTATCATTGTTATGGGCTTCCTCGTCCTTCCGGACGATTACCTCGATAACGCGCTCGACTCGAAGCAGCAGCTTGGGCGGTGGACATTGTGTGCGGATGAGTTCGGCGATACACGGTCTGACCTGAAGTCCTGTAGGGTCCTAAGACCAGTTAGCATTTCTCTATTTCTTTGTTTAAGAATGGTAACTTGAGAGCTTACCATGCCAGGATATCCATGGCGTAGGTGAGTTGGTGAGATGGTGATCGTTGGTGGTCGAGTCGTTGTTAACTAATGACATGGCGGACTAATAATGAGTTTGGCGTTCTGCGGGTGTCGTAGTTACGAAAAAGCAAAGAAAAACATCGAGTAAACATGAGCATAACATCATCTATTTTGAACTTTTGTATGTACATTATAAAATAAAGAAAGAAAGAAAGAAAGAAAGGTCAAAAGACATCTACGACCTTCTCTTCATCCGCATCGTCGGCCTTCTTCGCCTCGATCTCGAGTCTGGCTTTCTCGATGGCGGCCTCTGTAGCCTCCCCTTCACCCTCCTCGTCTCGCATAATGACTTGCACCAGTCGGTCGCAGGCCTCCTGTACAGCCTCGTTGTTGGTATGCAGATGGCACTCCCTGATTAGAGGATATACCTGGACCCTCCGAAGCATGTCTCTACCGTCCCTGGTTGAGGTCAATAAGAGAAGCGTCTCGAGATGCGCAGTGAGGATGTCCGGGTCCGGATCACGCTGTTTGTCGGGCGGAAGCAGTTGCAAGTCCGGCAGCATATCTGAGCTTTCCTCGTCGGTGAACTCTTCTGGCCCGGCGAGCGGGAGGAGGATATAAGGCAGCAGGTTGACCTGTTCCTCCGACATGAGGACTGGGTGGGAGGAGACATCAAAGGCGACGTTCTTGATTGTAGAAGCGACTCCTCTGCGCCTAATATGACTGCGGTGCTCGGTGAAGACTGTCAACTTTGTGATGGGGATAACCGCGTCGTAGGCTTGCTCGGTGACGAAGTAGGCTCGTCCTTCTTCGAACTTAGAGATGTCGGCAAAGAAGTAGGAGAGATAGTCATATGCCTTGTCCTGGTCCTTGTCCTTGTCTCCTCCCTTGATGAAGCAGTCCATAAGCTGGTCCATAGCCTTCTTGGAGGTCGACACCCCCTCCGGCACTGCTCTCTCCAGGCTGACGATACGCTTGATGCTGTCTGACTTGGCCAGGTTGGCGAGCAGCATCGTTATCTCTGTTGCTGCCTTTTCCTTTGGGTTCTACCATACCAGCTAACAGTCAGACGATGGCTTGCAAGAGCAGACAGTAATAAGCAAGTAAATAAGACAGACACCTACATACGGTGACTTTCTTCAGGAGGGTCTCGAGAAAGGCATCGTCCTCCGCCAGCTCCTTGAGCACTTCGTCGTCCGCCGACAGGTTGATCAGGATGGTCAGCGCATCTTTGGCAATCGGCTAATGGCAGATATGTCAGCTATAACTCCTTGAAACTGCTTCAGGAAAAGGCATCGGAGGTGTCTGGCGCACTGGGTAGTCCTTGGCCAGCAGCTTGAGGTCTCTGACGGGGAGCAGTTGGTGTCTCTTGAAGAGCGCGGGCTGGGAGGCAGAGTAGCCGACGAGGTTCTCGCATGCTATCCGTCCGTCGGTCCGTCAGTATGGCAGCACGGCAGTGAGACGTAGAAAATATGGGCAACGGGGCGCAAAGAGGCCTACCTATCTGGCGGATCTGCGTGTTTCCATGGTGGAGGAAGTCGACCAGCTGGGAGTCGTTAGTTAACTACTCCGGCCAGATAAGAAGGGAAGACGACAAACTGACCTCCTCCAGCTCCGTCGGCATGTTGCCTGTCTCTCTCTCTCTCTGACCGACTGCCCTGGATAACTATTCAACTCTGTAAATGCCCTTCCTGCCGACTAGTAGTAGTGTGGGATGACTATGCAAGTCGCTGATCTTCGACTGTGACGAAAAATAACTAGTTAACTTAACAATTCGGTGCGGGAGCCGCAAATTCAAGCTTCTTGGCCAGCGTCACTCGTTAACTATTTCAACTCTCTTAACTGTTTCGCCAACACGGTGAATTTCCCATATTCTTCATTTCTTCTTCACCTACAGATTATATTTGACCCGGATGCTTGACCTAGTCCAAGGTCATGGCCTTATGACTGGCTGCTTGCCCATCAAGATACCCCTGAGGCGTGTCTATCTAAGGACCAGAAACCATGACCTCCACTAGCCGCGCAACTACAACGGCTCGACGAGAGAAGGCAAAGGAATCCATGACAAATATTGAGCGTCCGGACTCATCTCCGAGGCATTCTACCAGGGCTCAACGGTGAATGGCGCTGGCATCGTGTCTAGGAAGCTCGTTTGGTGGGCTAGGTGGCATGTCTCTTCGAGGGCAGATACCGTCACCCTAAGGGAAGAACGGCTATGTTCGTTTTATTGAGGCTTGGGAGTATATCCAAGCACTTTTCTAATACAGCAGTGAATGGCCGGCAGCTAAGTTCAGGGCATGTTCTGTGAGACGTTGGAGCGCCACAGAGAGACAAGCAGTGGGATGGGGGAAGCATTGGGATCGTACTAGCAAGGAACAGGGTCTAATAGCGACTGCGTAGCGAAGCACTTTACCGGTCAATAATACAGTATAAATATAATTCCACGTTCGCCAGGTGGTTTCTCACAGTTACACCAATAATCGAGCAGGCCAATTGATCCCAGGGGCACCTTGTTCTATTTTATATATCTCAAGATTGAGAGCTGATTTTTGCTAGTCTCCTAGATATTATCCATCAAGCATGCTAGAGACTGGGGAAAGAAAGCTTTCGGTAACTAGAACACAGAGACCAGTGTTTTATGATTAATTCTCTTTGGTATACACGGATGAAAAGGCGTTGTTGAACGATAGACGCAACCCAAGTGACGGGGCCAGCCTCAGTCTGGCCTCGTAGTTATTTATTCCATCCAAATAATGCTATCGTTATAAGACATAATCGACTCCCGTAGACGGCCCAATCCAAAGAAAACGCGGATAAAACAGAAATGGAGGGACAGAATACACGAGGAGAAAGAAAAGGGAATCAGTAGTAGCGAAGTGAAATAGAATGGGAAAAGAGTACAAGTCAACGGCCGCTAAAAGCTCACAAGGACTCCCGGAACACGCCTTTCTGTGCGTGAGCAGAGCCCTCGCCAGCCGGAGGTTCTGGCCGTGGGCTCACATTCCTCAAATTGCTCCCCTCAGCATGGTCTCCAAATGGATTAGCTGGGTCATCTCCTTGTCCCAACTTGACAGGCGACGGATCACGGCTCAGACTTCTTCCACGGCTTGCTTCATGGCTCGCTCCAGGAGCAAGACCACCATCGTACGCAGATGCATTGCGATCGTATCCGCCAGTGTGTGGCGCAAAACCGAGTTCCTGCTCTTCATAATACCCGGGCGGGCCGAAGCCACCATCTCGCTCGGCGGCGCCCATGCGCGTGTCCCATGGCTCATCCTGCTCAGAAAGAGGCCTGCCAGCGCCGCCTCGGTAGGCTCGTGGCTCAAGATGGTCTTCGTACGATCCCTGGTGTGTTCTGCGATTGCGCAGAGCTGCAACCTTGTCCTTAAACCAGCCTACTATTCCACCGCTTCGGGGAGTCGGGTAGTTTGCGTCGCCATACGATGCAGGAGAGGATGTGAACGGTAGGTATGATTTCAATGGTGGTGGAGGGAGACCGGCTCTCCGGGCGCGGATCTGGGAGTAGCCTATCCAGCCGCCATACGCGAGAAGGGCGAGGATGATGATGAGTATGAGCCACCCGAACCACCGCATCGTGGCGATGTGTCTAGCTTCGAGATTCTGATAATCACGTTGCGGTTATGCTTAGGCAGCGTTCGAGTTTATTGTTTCTTGTAATTGGGAATAAATAAATGGCGAGTCCACAAGTCCAGAGTCCAGCTGATCAAGTGACAGAAAGGGGAGGTTGTCGTAAAGATATAAAGCTCGACACTCAGGCCGTAGGTCTCTCGCGCAGTGAACACCAGCTTGTCTCGGAGCCTTTTGTTTCTTTCTTTGATGTTGATCGTTCGTCAGCCGTTTTGATATGCGCAGCCTGACGGGAAGGAGGATAAGATTACGTAACAGAGTTGTATTCAAACCTTGGCAGGAGCCGCATGATTAGTCATTAAACCTTACGTCCGCGATAAGCGATAAGACTAGACAACAATCCATGTATATATATATATATTGAGAGACAATATTACGAGTCGATTAAAGGGAGAGAAGAGGGAGAAGAAGAAAAGAGTTTTGATATATAGGGGGTATATTCAATTAATTGACACGGTTATCGTGCTGAGCGTAAGAAGCCAACAATGCCACGACAGTAGCTGACCAGATCCGCCAGTCGCTTGGCCTCGCTCTCCTGCTCAGCCTTCCACTCTCTCAGAGCCTGCTGCAAAGCCACATTCGGCCCGAAGATGGCCCCGTTGCCCTCGGATGGCTGCGGCCCAACCGCTGCTTCGACGGCATCGTCGTGGACACGCAGGAAAACAGCCATCCACGTGTTGACCAACTCAAAATCTCGCTTTTGGCGGAGACGTTCCGTCAGCGCACGGACAAAGAGGGCTAGCTCATTATCCTGGCCATCCTGGCTCCTTGGATCGAGTGAGCGTATCTCTAGATCAGTGTTTGCTGGAGAGAGCAGCTTCAGGTACTCAATAAATGGAGTGAAGTCATCAGCTTCGCCGGCGGAGTGCAGCAAGGTTGTAAACTTCGATAATTGCCCTCCTGCCGACCCGTTCATTCGCTGTATCCGCGCAATGCGGCTCCGTTCCGCCTGGAGTCTTTTCCTATCGTCTTCATCCTGGTCTGCAGAGGCGTTGCCGATACTTACTGTACCGGATGCAGATCTTGACTCAAGAGACGGCAAGAAAAAGGGAGCTTTCTTTGGCTTCTTTGGGGCTTCCTTTGGCTTATTTCGTTGCTGTAGACATATTAGCAGATGGAACTCTGAATGAGGAAATAATGTTGATAATAACAGCCAGCATACCTTTATAGTGTCAAGGTGCAGTAGGGTCTGCCACCTGGTCTTTGGAGTCATGCTCAAGGTCATCATGTTATGAGAAAGCTGGTCAGGGGTAAGCACAGGCTGTTTCTGGTCATCTGATAACCAACTGTCATCAAAAGCTGCCTCTATCATAGCAACTCCGCCCTCTCCTGATGCGGTTGGAGCAGCAACCGCTACAGCCGTATCTTCCTCGATATGTCTTGTCGGAACATGCATAAACAGACACTTGTTATTCCAAAGGTTGATCCCTACGCCCTCTGCATGGGCCGTAGCAAGGAACTCGCCAGTGCTTGAAAATGAGAGGGAAACACATGTATTCTTCAGCCTAAATGCATCAATCAGATGGCCAGTTGGCAAATCCCAGACGCGGATAACCGAGTCCATGGAGGCAGCAACGATCCAGCGTCCGTCATTTGAGATGGTAAAGTCGTTGACCTGGCCAACACATCCCCAGAGTTCACGGACTAGCTTTTTCGTCTGGATGTCGATTACACGGATGGAAAGATCGTCACAGCTGAGAGCCAGAAGGTCACTGGTGCTGCTGAACCGTAGGCCAGTGATGGCACACATAGGATTCCAATCTAACTCATCCAGAAGTTGACCCGTAATCAAATTCCAAAACTGATCAAATCAGCAACAATGACACATATATATAGCTCGAGCAACAGGTACATACCTTAACTTTACCATCAAGTCCACAACTGACAACAGTAGTATTTAAACTGTCAACTACGATGCCTGTGATGGCTTTAGTATGTTTAGCAGACTTCTTCTTATCGAGCTCGTTCTCATCTCCATCAACAAGCCGTTGTAGCTTTGCCTTCTTAGCTTGGGCCGGCGTCAGGCGTGGTGGGAATGACTGTCGACGGATTCCAGACTGCAGGTTATACATGACTAGTGAGCCGCCATCGGAGCCAACCAAGGCAAATGTCCCACATTGAGACATGGCCACACTCTACAAACACATTAGTAAATTCCAAAAAAAAAAAAAAAAAAAAAAAAAATAGATATGAAGGGGTCAAATAAAAATGACAGGGAGTGTACCTTCACCTCAGTACTGTCACCAGTCTCCAAAGCCCAACGGCCGGCTTTCTTCTTACCCCAAATCCATGTACGCGCAAACTTGTCACCCTTATGCCCAGTAACAATGCTCTCCCAGCCGGTCATATTTGTGTTCTCTGCACTTGTGGCCTTCGAATTAGCCCATATGGGTCCTCCAGCGGCTGCTCCCATACCACCATCTCGGTTCAGAGAGCAAGCCAAGCATGTTATTTCGGGAGCTTTCAATTCTTCATAACGAATGGTTTGCTGGCTGGCGGACGTGCTTGACGCGCCGATCTTTTTGGCTTTGCTCTTTACATTTCCCTGAGAGAGCTCCGTATTCTGGGAATCCTTGCGCAAGCTAAGACCAAACAGGCTGCGGTCCTGGCCAGCACTTAGCAGCCATTTGCCTACTACTTCAGACCCATCGGATCCCGAGGGAACAAACATGACTTTCGTAATTGGCGCGGAGTGGCCGGATCTGGCATGAAGCGGTCTTGGGATTGGGGAAAAAGGAGTCTGGTCGAATATCCAGGTGCGTAGAGCATTGTCCGAGCCGGTTGAGACCATGACTGGCTGACCGGGCAGGAACTCGACTTTGTTTATCTGCACACTCCTGTCTTCTCCAGATGGTTCATGCGCATTTCTCACAACACCAGTCACACGACCGCCGTTATTCAAATCCCACAGGACAATATCACCGCCGTCAGCACTACCAGTGGCCAATACACCATCCTGCCGCCCATCCTCCCCAGCCCCAATTCCATCTGTACGGAAAGAGATAGACGTTATAGGAGCACTATTGGTGAGCCCAGGTTTCTTCAAGCAAAGCACGGGCTTGTCTGTTCGGATATTATGTATCACTAACGATCCGGATGCATATGCAATTGCGAGGAGAGATAAGGCTGGAGATGGCTGCAATGCGCTGACTGCACCTGCGCCTGGAATAGTAGGGAGGACTGAGTACACCAATTTCCCGGTAGACACATTCCAGATATCAACGCAACCGTCAGAACGTCCAACAAAGACTTTGTTAAGGTACGTAGGCATGGTACATAAAGTACTAGGAACTAGCTTAGTAAACTCCTTGGTGGCCGCAGGAGTAAGGGTTGTATAATGGGAGTAATCTGCCGATTTCCACACGATGATACGATTGCTGCAGCATCCGACAATCCAGGATCCAAAGACGACCAATCGATCCACCGATTGAGCGACAGACCCTGGGGCAATAGAAGGCATCTCCAGCTCAGCCACCTTCTTCCCACGCTTAAACACCCAAACACCGCTCTGCTGAGCCGCTGACTGGCCGCCCCAGGCCGCAAACACACGGTCCCTCCATGCATGGGTCGCTGTAATCAAAGCCGGTGTCTGTGGCCGGGTCAAGAAGACAAGACTGAGACCTCGTCGTAGGTCATATGTCTGCAAGGACTGGCCAACTGATGTTGTTATTTGAAAGGTTGTCTTGCCTAGTGGGATCGAGGTAAACGGAACGGACGTCGACGAAACAAGGCCCAGAGTCTGCAGTCACAGAGTTAGTCTCTACCCATGTATCTGTGCATCCATCCAATTGTATATCAAAAACAGCTTACTCTGAAAGGTGTGAAGATGCGAGATCCGTCTGGCGCGCGTGAATGGCTGGACTTCTCCGTCACGACCTTCTGCCGCTTCGCCAGTGGCAGGTCAAAAGCCTCGTTCGCCATCGTCAGCTCGTCTCGATATGTCCTCTCTTCTTTGTCTTCCTTCTCCTCCTCTTTCTCCCCTTCTTTTTCTGCTTTTCCTTCCTGGCTTCTTCGTGCTGAAGCTTCAGTAAGTAAAAAAAAAAAAAAAAAAAAAAAAAAGCGCTGAGTCAGCAAAAGCTTGGCGCCGGCTGTGCCCTAAAAAGACTCCCCTTTAGGAAATCATCCAGAACGTCAATTTCGACTTCAATCTCAACTTTTCTTCTTCTTCCGCGTCGTGATCTTCATCTTTGCTTCTTCCTTGCCGTCGATTGGCTTGTGTTTCATTGCTTTTTATTAGTCTGCGACCTGGAGGCGAGCCAGTGGGTAGCCTTTTTGCCGCAGTCGGGGTTGGGATGAAACGACGGCGCTTGTTCCCTGGCTAGTTTGATCACTCATCCAGCTGCGAATTCAGCATCAAGACGTCTCTGCTCAAGAGTGCAAGAGAGAAGCCCAAGAAACGCTTGTAGGGACTTCGGCTGAGATCAACAAGCCCTTCCCTGCTAGCGGCACCCCACGTGGCGAAGGACTGCCATTAGGACGGAGTGGACAGGGGAAGATTTCATCTCTCAAGACCGCTGCTTTTTCCTCTGCCGAAAGTCGATTTTCTTCTCCATATCCTTAAGGATATAAGCTAGTAATATCGCCGGCATATAAGTACAAACGATTAGATTGTTCCCATGCAAGCTGACGTCGATGGCCAGCCGGACAAGAGTCCACTATGCAGCAAGGATCGGGGTGCACCAAAACAAGAGCCAAAGCCAGGACAGGAGACAAGAAGAGAGGTAGAGACGGAAACAAGGACTCTGGCTGCCCAGTCGCCAAACACTGAGTCGACGTTATTGGAGTTGATCCCTCAACCTCCTGCTGTCCCGTCGTCACCGCCGCAGCCACTCTCGCAATCACAGCCAGAGCCGCTCGTACCGCCCATTGAGCAACCGGTAGACTCGTCTTACACCTCAACATATCAGCGCAATCCCCGCTACCTGACCGATCGCGACGGCAATCGGGTGTCCTTCTCTTCCCTTTACTCGCTCACTTCCAGCATCCACTCTGCGCCTGGGGATAGAGAAAGGGCATCCAGCACCGCAGTATCAAGTGTTGACGGCTCCGGCAAACCGCGCTCTACCATGGATGACCAGCGGAGTGTCTCTGCTGGGCTTTCCACTCGGCCAGATTCTTCATTACACACACCCTCCGGTTACTCTGGACAAGGCACATCCTCTTCGCCCGGATCAACATCTCCAGGTCGGTTTTACTACGTTGGGTATTGTTTTAAGCGTCAACTCTGTTAACATTGAACATAGGTCTTACTCCCTCATTCCAACACCATCTAGCGAAGCCGGAAGATAGCCGGTCTCCGGCTTGGATTTCACGTCCTGGACGTTCGTCAAGCAAACAACCTCGACGTTTTAGTGCTAGTACTGGCGCAAGCAGTGCTAGTGAGGCAGAAGGTACAACACCACCATTGTTCTCAAAAGCTCTGGGTCCCGAGGGGTTACTAATCCAAACAGTGCGTCTCCCTCTCATAGGCAGAATTGGAGTTTGTGCTCTTGATGTCAAGGCACGCAGCAAGCCTAGCCGCAACATTTTGACTCGTCTTCAAGCAAGAGGTGACTTCGAGGTCATTGTATTTGGAGACAAAGTCATCCTGGATGAAGGTTTGCTACACCTCCTAAGTGCACGTTTCCGTTGATAAATATCTTTTACTAATTATTATAGATGTCGAAAATTGGCCGGAATGGTATGTCAAGATTTTCAACTTCTAAGAATGCCAGCATTAATTTAATCAATCGCAGTGACTTTTTGATCGCCTTCTTTTCCGACGGATTCCCTCTTGATAAGGCCATTGCATATGCAAACCTCCGAAAACCGTTTTGCATCAACGATCTTCCCATGCAGCAAGTTTTGTGGGACCGCCGATTATGCCTCCGCATTTTGGATCAAATGGCAGTCCCAACACCGAAGCGTGTGGAAGTGAACCGTGATGGTGGACCAACGTTGGCGTCGCCTGAACTTGCTCAGCATGTTTATAACTTAACCGGAGTGCGTTTAGAAGGTCCACCAGATGGCACCGGGGGTGGAACACCCCGAACGCAGTCGGTGACAATGTCTGAAGACGGAGAAGCCCTCATTGTTGACGGCAAGGTGTTCAAGAAACCATTCGTGGAAAAGCCTGTCAACGGAGAAGACCACAACATCCATATCTACTTCCCTAATGACCAAAATTACGGAGGTGGAGGCCGCAGGCTCTTTCGCAAAGTAGGGAACAAGAGTTCAGAGTATGATCCTGACCTTAAGATCCCAAGATCTATAACTGAGCCAGACGTCAGCTACCTTTATGAGCAGTTTCTACGCGTTGATAATGCGGAGGACGTCAAAGCATACACTGTTGGCCCTGACTACTGCCATGCGGAGACTCGCAAGTCTCCCGTTGTTGACGGCTTAGTACGGCGGAACACTCACGGCAAGGAGTTACGGTATATCACTAATTTGGGAAAAGAAGAGGCTGCTATGGCCTCAAAAATATCCAACGGCTTTGGTCAGCGCATTTGCGGTTTTGACCTTCTTCGTGTTGGAGATGCCTCCTACGTTATAGATGTCAATGGCTGGTCCTTTGTTAAGGATAATAATGATTATTATGACAAGACTGCCAAAATTCTTCGAGATATGTTCACTCGTGAAAAATTGCGCAGAGACGGGAAACTTGACGTTACTGAGCCTGCGAAGGATCCATCCTCCAGCATACCACCCGCGGTAAATTCTGGGTCTCATCGGCATACTCTTAAGTCGTTATTGAAGTCCCCAAGCATTGCGGGGCTTCAAAGCGGTTTCTCTAGCCACAAGTCCCCCGCCCAGACTCCAAGTACCAAGAGCACAATCTCCTCTAAGGTAGAGACGGACGATTTGCATAGGAAGCCCAGTCATTCTGAAGGTTCTGAAAAGGCAAACTTGAGTCCAGATACCCAACTAACTAACGAGCCATCACAGCCGGTAGAAGCGCCTACCGCTCCGCCACCATCGTCCAAACACTCTTGGAAACTCAAGGGTATGGTGGCCGTGATACGGCATGCTGACCGAACTCCCAAGCAGAAATTCAAATTCACCTTTCACACCCAGCCATTCGTGGATTTGCTCAAGGGCCATCAGGAAGAGGTGATTATCCGGGGGTCTACTGCGCTCCGTAGCGTTACTAATGCTGTAAACCTCGCTTTAAAGGAAGGCATTGAAGACAAAGAAAAGCTCATGTTACTAAAACGCTCACTCGACCATAAGGTTGAATGGCCGGGGACAAAGGTGCAGATAAAGCCAATGTTTCGCCGCCGAAATTCACGGGAACTACAAGGGAGCCGTACTCCGCCTCCTGTCTCACCCTTAACTACAAGTGAAATACCACCGGCCCCTGCCTCTCCGCCAGACTCTGCGGACCCTGAGCACCCCCGTGTGGCCCGCAGTGACTCCCTCTCGGGGCCTACGTTTTCTCGGTTTTCAGCTGTGGAAAATGATCTAGTCCTAGACAAACTGCAATTAGTCATAAAATGGGGCGGGGAACCAACCCATGCAGCTCGGTATCAGTCACAAGATGTCGGCTTGACAATGCGTGATGATCTTAAGCTTATGAATAAGGAAGCATTGAACGATGTGAGGATGTTTACAAGTTCAGAGCGGAGAGTTAGTACAAGTGGTAGGTGCCTCACCACGATAGAGCCCCTTTCGTGTTCCATAGCTAATCGAATACAGCCCAGATATTTGCTTCGACTTTTCTCGACCAGAAGGACCTGCCGGATGATTTCATTCAAGTGAGAAAGGATTTACTAGATGATTCAAACGCGGCAAAAGACGTAATGGACAAGGTGAAGAAAAAACTCAAGCTGCTTCTTCGAGAAGGTAACTCGGCTCCTCCTCAATTCGCATGGCCTAAGGAGAACTTCCCGGAACCCTCCATTGTACTATCCACATTGGTCGAACTTATGAAATTTCACCGCTGCGTTATGCGTCATAATTTTCAAAAGATTGAGGCGCACGGCAATTCCCATCCTGGCGCGTTCGGATCCTCCTCACCTACTGAAAAATCGCCATTCACCGATATCCAAGGCCGGTGGTGCGCTGGTGAAGACCCACAACTTTTCAAGGAACGTTGGGAGAAACTATTCAAAGAATTTTGTGACACAGAAAAGGTCGATCCAAGTAAATTATCGGAGCTCTATGATAGTATGAAGTTTGATGCACTACATAATCGGCAGTTTTTGGAGTGGGTTTTCCTCCCGCCAGATGATTTCATCTACGAGGGTGAGACTGACAAAGAACGGGCTGGTCATGTCACATCTTCCCACTTCTTGGAGCCTAATGGCAATGCTGAAGGCAATGGAACTAACGGTACGAACGGCAAGCCCAGACCCCCTGCTGGTCTATTGGCTCCTCTTGAAGACTCTTACGACTCTTACTTCAAGCTATACCCTGGTTCGACGCCCTCAAAGCCAAAGATTGACAAACGCCTCTCCCGCCTTAAGCATCTGTATAGCTTGGCTAAAGTCCTATTTGACTTTGTAACGCCCCAGGAATACGGTATAGCTGACCATGAAAAGCTGGAGATTGGGCTACTCACTTCACTTCCCCTACTCCAGGAGATAGTGATGGATCTGGAAGAGGTGCAAGCATCTCCAGATGCTAAATCGTTTTTCTACTTCACCAAGGAATCCCACATCTATACCCTCCTCAATTGTATCCTTGAGGGTGGACTGAAAACAAAGATCGCACGACGGACAATTCCAGAGCTGGATTATCTCTCTCAGATATGTTTCGAACTTTACGAAGCTCGTGATGCAGAGGCCGAGACCTTCGCGTACTCCATCAGGATCTCAATAAGCCCAGGATGCCATACGTTCGATCCATTGGACGTTCAGCTAGATTCCAGGCATGCAATCGGATGTGCACCCCGAAGAAGCCTCACGGCGCATCAGGATTGGAAGGAAGTGATTGAAACACTGAAGGCAAAGTTTGATACGTAAGTATTTTTCACGCCAAAGAACTTAGACAATGATTCACGTAACTGACTGAAGTACCAGCGTCAAATTGCCCAAATCATTCATTGCAATCAATCTTAGTGACAAACACGCTGCGGCTCGCGAGGAGGAGCAAACTTAGTTTGTTCTACGAGCCCACATATACACGTATGCGTTTTTGTTTTTCACTTGGAGTTTAGCTGTTATATCTTCGTTTTTTTTTTTTTTTTTTTTTTTTTTTTTTTTTTTTTTTTTTTTTTTGATTCGAGTTTGTGTTTTTCACTTTTTCATTGTATAGTTAATAGCATACCGAAGAACATATGGGAACGGATGCATTTCACGGTGAGAATATGAATGGGATGGCTCGGGTGGTACTCTGCTATTATTGTTTTGTGCATGCATATCAACGCCGGGCGGTTGGCTAGACATGAAGGGTAATAGACGGGCGACCGATTTGCAGGAAGATTAATTAGTTATACAAGGTGTATGGGAATTTCATACAATCCACCTTCTACGGTCTAATCCATTTACACTTGTACATTGATCGCCTTATTGTTTATCCATTAGATATAGTACATAGTAGTTTATTATGTGTATCATACTGGAGATAATAACTAGTTCAAGATTACACACAATAAGTATTCTGTTGATTTATTACTTTTATTAAACCCATAATGTTGAATATATAATATATATAGAAAGAACCTCGACTAACTCTAGCTCTTTGGCTATTCTAGTTTTCATAAAATTTATAGTACTTCACACACGTAAATGAAGTCCACTGTGGCCATCCAGTCTCCCATTTATAATAGATTTAGACCTGAAGAAAGAACTATAATATAATTATGATATATACAAAATGCAAATTATAATGTAGTTAAGTAGCTAGTTAACAACCCGTTGTGTAAACAAAGCTACTTGATATTTGTACTTGAGTGATCGCGAGAAGCTTGAAGAGGGGTAGAGAATATCAGGTCCTTCACCGTTTTGCCTTCAGTAGCCAGGTCATGAAATCTATATAAACCCGGCCTGCTCTCTCCCTTGCACACCTTTTCTATCCATCAGCCAACGATACAACATCCTCGAGCAACCTTAGAAAAACAGCATTTTCTACAATACTTCAACTACCACAACGCTACGAATCCTCAAACCAGCAAAAATGAAGATCTCGTCCCTCTGCGCACTTGCAATGACCTTCCTGGTCTCTGGAACTGCCATTGCCGGGTGTATCGAAGCCCAGTGCGATGCGAGCGTAAGCAGTTATCTTGCATTAACATTTGATTAACTAGTTAGTTATCAGCCCAGGCAGCTAACAAGAGTGGCTTGTGTCTAGTGTCGTAGAGAAGGCTATACCGGTGGCACATGTTTGAAGAATGCCGGCTTCTCGTAAGTGGATGACCTGCCCTTGTCCCAATAAAGAGAGAAACCAGTACACAGAGCAGTTGCTAATGAAAAACCGTTTAGATACTGCGCCTGCCGCGGCGCTCGTCCTCCAGGCCGTCGTCGCTAAGTACCTTATAAATAAACAACAACACAACCTTTTCCCCCGTTGATCTCCGTTATCAACCATGATAGCGGAAGATAGCACCAAGTTCAAAAAGAAATATGGGATTTAACTCCCTTACCTAGCTAGCTGGTTTCGGGTTGATGAGCTATTTCGGTCACTTATATTTCAATAATTAAGCAGTTACTTACAATCCACTGGCTCGAACTATTTTCTTTCTAATTTGTCAACCACCCGTACCCTGCTATACAAGAAGGACATTTAGTTACTCGAATCAGCTCCTGGAATTTCCTGAAAAGAACTCGAGAACCTTTTTTAGCTTCTCAAGGTCCTGCGGCGGAGACTGAGCCGCCAGTGGAGCCATTGGAAGCTGATGTTAAGCTTTGCCGTAACTTAGCTAAAATCAACCTCATACGCTTTACTAGTGACAACAGTAAATAAACCATTTAGAATCGGAAGGCATGAATAGTATTTATGTGGTACTATATTGCATTAAGTGTTACCCTCTACCCTAATCATTCTTGTGATTTAGTCTAGAAGCATAAAACCAACAGGATCATCGATCTAGCAAGCCATGAACATATAAAAGAAAGAAGGAAAACATGAATTAAAGAACATAAGATAATGAAAATTTTTCCCCTCCTTCACAAAAGGCCGTGAGATATGCATGCAGGGCGAAGAGTCGCTTAGGTAGATGAAAGGCTGAGTCATTCTTCAACAGGGAATATAGACCTATTATGGAGAGTCGGTAGATTCAGTTGGGGTATCTTGGGGTTCTTCGTATTTATCCCAGTTTGCCAAAATATTTCCAATACGAGGTGAGTTTGTAAGTCGGTACACATCTTCGAAATATTCTCTTGTGAGCTCAAACGGGCGAGCGGTAACATTGGGAATGTATTTGCCGATCAATTTGCTTGGATCAATGGTTGTCTTATTAATCTTCTTAAGCAAGAAAGATCGGAAGGGCTTGACACCGGAGCGAAGGAAAGTGCTGTGGAAAGGCACATCAATACCCTTGAGTGGAATGGTTGCGAATCCACGCTCGAGAACAATAGGTTGTGGCTTGGCATTTGTCTGCTTCACGCATTCGTCAATGATTTGAACGAGGTGTGATTTAACGTCTTCGAGTGACATGGTCTGCATCAGAGCAGGAATATCAATCTTTTGGGCCTTGAGGACATTCAGGACGTTTGTCAAACTGTCAAGTGCTCGAAGCTGTAATGAAATTAGTATATCAGTCTTGAAATGGTTTTAGCCTTTTTTGGGTAAACTTACATCGCCAGCACAGACATACTGCATGTTTGCCACGTTGTAGTTGACAATCTCAAGCAGCCAGCCTGTAGTCTCTGAAACATTCTCAACTACGTACTGGAGTGCCTGTTCATTGAAGGTCTGGGAGATACGGCTGGGGTTAACTGCGCACATGGAGTAGTTGGAGCGACCCTGTTCATCACGTTCCACTGCAACTTGCATCGTTAAACCACGGTAGAACACGACGGAGACCAAACTCTCAATTGGCATGACCTCAGCAAGGGCAGCAAGTGCAGAGTACTCCCCTAATGAGTGACCTGCGAAACTGCTATCTCTCTGGACCAGGCCCTTGGAACGCATGTCTTCGAAGCTGGCTTTCTCCATCAGGGTGAGGGCCGGCTGAGTGAACTGAGTGGCTGACAATAGTCCAGTAGGTGACTTGTAAGTATAAGAAGAGGTCTTCTCGTCAACTTCCTTGAATATCTTCTCAGACTTTATAGATCCATCAGCGTTGACAGTTTCGAAGGTCATCGACATATAGTTCTGTCGAATGTTCTTTCCACGAGGTCCACCGAAGTGTACAGTCAGCTCTTGAGGGTTATTCTTGACAATGTCAATGATAGAGAAACCGTAATTCTCCATAAAATGGCGATCCGCGCGGTCCCACACTTCCTTAGCAACAGGGCTGGTGGCGTAAAGGTCCATACCCATGCCCTGCTCTTGAGAACCTTGACCGGTGAAAACGTATGAAGAAACTGGCTGCTCAACTTCGGCCTCACCAATCAAGACCTTCTCCTCGGTATTTTGGTTGCTGGCCTCGACTTGGATGATCTTGCGACCAGCAATCATACCAACATGCTGAAGCTTGACAACTAGGTCATCATTGGGAAGGACCATCCCGACAAGGGAAGCATGAAAGCTGCGAACACGGCCGATATTGTTTTCGGCAGCCCAGGTTTCAACCAGACTTCTGACAGCAGCACTGGTATACATACCGTGAGTGATGGTACCTGGCAAGTTGGCGTAGCTGGAGAAGACTCTGGAGACATGGATTGGGTTATAGTCACCAGACACTCTAGCATACGTCTCGTTAGAGGCAGGAGCTTTGAGAACCAAAGGCGACTTGCTAAGCGGGATTGGGTTTTCGAAGTTAACCGGCTGCTCAATGGCCGAACCATGACGCTGGAGATAGTCAATCACCGGGTTGCCGTGAGAAACACCGGCATCGTAGTCAACCGATCCCACCTGAATAATTTCTTTGGTGGGAAGTTCAACCAAGACCTGACCGGTGGTCTGCATGTTCTGGAAGACAGTCTTATCCTTGTAGCGGACCAAACTCTGAAGACGGAAAGTGAGGGTTTGGCCCAAAAGTTCAACATTGCCCTCATCCAGTCGGAACCACTCTTTCGATTGCAAGACCGCTACATCCTTTGAAGTAGCCAAATGTACTTGCATTGGGACTTCATCCTTGCGTAAGAATGTGGTTTCGTAGTCGGTGTAGTTACCTCGGTACAGGAACTGACTGGTAACGTGCATAATTGGTTCACCATCCCTCTTTATGGTTCCACAGACCTCAACCATCTTACCAGAGTCCTGGTTAACGATAGCATTGATTTGAGCTGTCGTATCAAGAATATCGCCGACCTTGAGTGGCTCTGCGCCAGGAACCATCCTGAAACCGTTGGACAGATGGACAAGCTTTAATAGGTCACCATCGATAGTACGTGGGAAGATTGGCTTCGTAATAGCTTTCCATCCTGCAACAATAGCGAAGTCCATAGGCGCAAAGGTTTCCTTTCCCTGGCGTTCGACGAAGGCCTCACCAGTGTTACCAACAGCATGAACGAAGTCTGCAATGGCTTGGGCAGTGACAGTAGTACGTCCACCATCAAAGATGGCCGCCGCTGGAGTGTCGAATGGAACTGTGCGTTCGCCAAACCACACACGGTAGTAAAACTCCTTGATACGATCATTGCGTCCTTCCATGACTTCTCGAATGGGAGCATAACCGGTTTCTGGGTGGTAGGTGAAGTAGAACGGGAGTGGGACAACGCCACTTTCAGCAGTTCGACCTTCGAACAATGTGAGTGCAATTCGGTTCTTCTCTACAAGTCGAATTTCGACAGTTTTGACCAGTTTTCCTGATTGGCATGGCTCACGCATGCTGATAACTGTCTTCAAAGAATCATTTGGGTTGGTTATTTCAACAAACATGCCACGAGTAGGCGCAAGAATGCGCTTGATGGGGTTTGTCTGGAAACGCTGGCCTTGGATGAAGACCTCAGTGGTAAAGAGAGCATATCTCCAAGAGTAAATATTACCAGCCAAGAGATGAAGCCAGCGGTCAAGTTCAGGAAGATTGGCCGAAGGGGAGGACGAAAGGCGATAGGAAACTCGAGTAGCATCCTCGGAGATGGTTAAGCCATCAATGTCGCGATCTTCATCGTCAACAAGAGCAAGTCGACCACCGAAGTATTCAACGGTCGGAACCTTAGACTCATCACCATTGTAGACATCTTGAATAAGGCCCTTGATATGGTCTTGGTGGATGCCATCCAAGATGCTCTTGATTGGTTCATCGATGACGGTTGAGTATTTGGCAGCCATGGGCCCTTGCAGGATACAAACACGACCAACATCTTGACCAACGACGGCCTCAATATCCTCTGATTGCCAGAGAGAATCTTTCTTGAACCAGAACTCGAAGTTCTCATCTAGCGATGGCACAAATGGAACTGGCTTTTGCCCTCGTCTCTGGCAGAGCTGAAGGAAGTGCTGTACATCTTGCGCGTTGATAAGCTGATCGGCAGAGGCAGGATAGGCATCGAGGATCTCTTGGACAGTTGGGTAGGGGGTATCAAGCTGAGAGTAAGACTGGAGGCGAGATTCTTGGTTCTTCTCTGTGGTAAATCGCTCTTCAACACGGCGAAGGAAATCGCCGGTGAATCTCTTAAGCGAATCATCGATCCACCTAGCTTCATGTTTAACATACATGAGTTCAACCATGCGGTGTACAACCTCAGCGTAGGTCATGTCCTCCAAGTCAACGGTAACACCCTTCGAGTTACGTCCGAACCACACCTTTTGGAAGTCATCATTGAGTTTTTTAATTATATACTCTCTGTGTTTCTTGAGAGCAGGGAGTCGCTTGGCCTTATCGAGAGAGAATATCTTTTGGTCCATCTCAGCCCAGAAAAGCACTCCTCTGGTGGCTAGTTTGTGAATAGGTTCTCCCATCTCAGAGCGCACGGTAATGACGCCGCCTGCAGCGCCCTTGTAAGTGTCTTCCCATTTAGCATCATCGACGCCGGGCGCAGCTACTATCGCCTCCTTGGCAGCCTTGGAGGTGTGTGCCTCCTTAGCAACCATCATGCGACTGCCGAAGAGGCAGCCATCGAATGGCATAGGTGGGTATCCGAACTGGCGAGACCAGGTACCAGTGAGGTATGGATAGGTGTCTGTGGAGCCACCAAAGCCACTTCCTGCAACTAGAACAATGTTATCACATTTGCGGATACGACTATACATTTGAAGGACAGGTTGGTGGAAATCTTCAAACGAGTGATGTCCTCCTCCACGACCACCAGTCCACTGCAGGATAACAGGGAAACTGGGGTTTGCCTTGGCAATATTGATGACCTGTTGGATAGCGTCTAAAGAGCCTGGCTTGAAGCCTATGTGCTTGATTCCAAGTGTCTCAATGTATTCATTCGCAACCTCAATGGATGGTACTCCGGCGCCAATAACAAGACCTTCGATAGGAACACCGTCGGCACGGAGCTTAGCCAGCAATGGAATCTGCCAGGCCATAGCGCGTGGATTAACGTAGATTAAGTTGACGGTGATACCACGGCCTGGAGGAATCGCCTTTTCGATCTTCGTGAGAGCTGCTGTCATAGATTTCGCGTTGTAGTAGCCACCCCCTCCGAGCTCTATCTGGTATCCGGCGTTCATTGTGGCAGCGACAAAGTCCCAAGGCACAGTAGTCGGAGTCATACCAGCAACCATTATTGGGGGGACACCTAGAAGTCTGCTCATCTTTGTATCTACAAAAGTTTGGCCGACAGAGGTCTTTACAAGGCGGGGGCCATAGACCTCAACCCAGTCGACAGCGTATTTGACGGCATGGTCTTCATCACGATCAAACAACTCAGGTTTGTATCCCACCTCTGCGTTAGTGCCGTCTATAAGACCACCAAGAATGACTCTAACACCGGTACCGTCCTTGTTACGGTTGGTGAGGACACCTAGTCCTGAGATGCCACCTGGACCAAAGTCAACAATGTGGGTAGCCTTGCTGAAAACAGTAGCCTTTTCCCAGTCAACCGGGTCACTGGTGATCATGCGGATCAATGCAGGTACGATATCCTCGTCGCCGAGTTTGCTGATATCCTTGCCAGTGTTCGTATCATAAACAGGGATTCGCAAGGATCGTGCAGGGATTTTGATATCCTCAACGTCCTCGGCTATAGCTTCGAAAGCAGAAGCAAGGTATTGGCTGTGGAAAGGGGCCGTGATGGGCAAGAATCTGTTGACGAAGCGAATCTTTCGCTGTGTGAAGGGAACCCGGTTTTGGTCAAGGCCAGTGGCTGCTTTAACCTTACGGAGACGTAAGTTTAGACCGTACAGGGAGATTGGTGGACCGGTAACAACAAAGTTGCGAGGGCTGTTGACCAAGGAGATAGCGATGTGGCGGTCTTCTGGCAGATGTTGGTTCGTAGCATCAATGTGTTCCTGTACCGCTGACCGGTGGAGGTCTCGGATGGACAGCATAGGAGTCGGGATGCCCTCTCCGTTCTCAATGGAGTCCTGAAGTAGCGACGGGGCGAGTGAGGTGCGAGGGTATGCCTGTTGACTCCGAAGGCCGATCCAGAAGAGCATGGTTAGCGCCGCTCTGGCAGCCTTTGCAAAAGACTCCCACGTGGTCACAGTGGCGATAGTAGCAGCAGTAATGATACCCTGCGAGTGACCAGTGGTACCACTGAAAGTATCAAGTACGTCACCCGGCTCCTTTCCCATGGCCTTGCAGGTAGCCATGAAGTGGGCGAGCTGAACAAGGCCAATTAATGGCAAGCTGACTGGTGCAGAGACGAGATAGTCAGTATCTGGCTGGGTATCACGGTCGTGCAACCAGCGGAGAATATCCATTCCCTTTGAATAGAGCTTGATAGCATCAAGATCTCTGGCGAGAGACTGCAGCAGCTCCGCCGAAGAGGAAATGAGGTCCTCGACAAATGAAGGATACGTGTTGTAAATCTCGCGTAGCTCGTCAAAATATTCTTCAATGTTACCCTGGCCGCCGTAGATACTGTACAACTTTGCGTTCCCTTCCATGGCAGCACGCAGGAGAGCGGAATCGTGGGGCTTTGTGGGCCTGTTCACGGCTGCACGGGCCGCATAGTAGTTTTCTACCATGAGCAGCTTCTTCGCAGGGATGCCGGGTATGGAGCCAGCAACGGCATGGACATCGTTACCGCGCATAAAAGCACGCTCGAACTCGTTTAGAACGAGCTTGAGAACTTCGATGTACGAGCCCAGGGAGTCATCTTCGCCCTCCTCGACCTCGTGGGCGATGAAGCCAAGGTACCGGGCTACGAGGTCCGGCACGGACGACGGCTCATCGTCCTGTGCTAGCTCGTCAGTGGGCTCAGGGAGCGAGGCAGCAAAGCTGTCCTTGAGTTGTGAGGCATGGAAATGAAGGGATGTGGCCACTAGAAAGGAGAACTCGAGGGATCCATGGGAGAGATTGAGGGGACGCAGGGACTGCGAGGATCGAGGAGTGTTGATGCCCGTCTGGGGGCCGGTCGAGGGGCCAAACATGACGTTTTCAGCCTGATTAGGGTAGCGAAGGAATGGAGAAGCAGCAAGAGGTGTAGAAGGTCAATTAAGTAGGATATATATGTTTGTATCGTGTTCTATCGTCCCGTTAGCCATGATCCCGCATACTCGTCCAAGCTCGGAGCTCCCCCCCCCCCCCCGTCCCGAAGCTTTGAGCCCAAGGTGCCTGCTACTCACCAATGCCGCATGATACCTCTAAAACCAGACAGAAATGAGAGATGCCGTGACGAGTCGTGAGATAAAGACAAAGACGAGGAGAAGATGAGGGGGGGAAATGAAGCCGTGAAGGCGCGGAAGCGAAGATGAGGTCGAAGTTGTGAAATTGAAGTCGAATTAAAGCTGGCGACGAAGAAGTTGAGGATTCCCCAATCGAGCATTTTGGAAAAAAAAAAAAAGAAAAAAAGTAAAAAAAAAGGAGAATTTTTCAAGCTGCGGGGCCCGTTGAGGCCGCGCTAGACCGGAAGAGGCAAGGCGCGGTAATTTAACCGCCCCAAAGAATTCAAAACGGTTGAATTTCCAGGGACGAGTGGGACATCTTACCGTACATGACGCGCGGCTGCTCTGTTATTACATTACAATAGCCGCTCCACATATCGTCTAATACTGGGGAATCCGATAGAGCACACGGATCTATTCCTCACGTTTTCACTATCCACTCTCTACATATACTCCTGGAAAGAATTCCAGGTGCTTACTAGTGGATGAGAATCCACAATATCGAAGAAGCGTGTGTGCTCGGAGCAGAGCTGTCGGCGGCCGAGCTGCAGCGGGAGTGCTTACCGCAGCGTCTAGATCCGCCGTCACGTTCTTACGATACACAGCCCCAGGAAAGTACACCAACTGTAATTTACGCTGACTAAGCCATGGCCTTTTTTCTTTTCTTTTCCCTCCCTTTTTTCTGCCTTCCCTGCTGTTGGCCCGAACGGGAAGTAGGAAAGCTCGCCCTTTTCAACCTCAACCGCAGCTCCGACGTTCTTCTTCTTCCTCCTCCTCCTCCTCCTCCTCCTCGTCTGCTTCTTCTCCTGCTCGCCGGCGCCTCGACTTCATCCTCAAGCAATTAATATAATCTATCTTTAATTAACGACCCGAACACCTTCTGCTTCTGACCTGCTTGACGGAGCTTGCTTGCTGAGCTATCTACTATAACAAGGACATGCGCCAGCCAGCTTGATATATCTCCTTGAACAGTGTGATATCCCCCTGCATTTCGCTCCACCAGCAGGACGCCCTCTTCGCCGTATATAATAATTTAGACGATTCTCCAAATTTCTCTCCAGTCTGCCGCCATGAAGCCCGAAGTCGAGCAGGAGCTGGCTCACACCCTGCTCGTTGAGCTCCTCGCATACCAGTTTGCCTCGCCGGTGCGGTGGATCGAGACACAGGATGTTATTTTGGCTGAGAAGAGGACGGAGCGCATTGTTGAGATTGGTCCGGCTGACACGCTAGGTGGAATGGCCCGGAGGACCCTCGCATCGAAATATGAAGCCTACGATGCCGCCACGTCCGTCCAGCGTCAGATCCTCTGCTATAACAAGGATGCAAAGGAGATATACTACGATGTCGATCCAGTCGAGGATGAGCCTGCTCCAGCCCCTGAAGCTGCTGCTACCGGTGCTGCGAGTGCCCCTGCGGCTCCCGCTCCGGGCCCAGCAGCTGCGACCCCAGCTCCAGCGGCTGCTCCAGCACCGTCGGCTGGCCCTGCTGCGGCTGTGGAGGACACTCCCATCACTGCGGTTGAGATTGTGAGATCGCTTATCGCGCAGAAATTGAAAAAGGGACTCGCAGATGTTCCCCCTAGCAAAGCAATTAAAGACCTAGTAGGAGGTAAGCCACAATGTACAACGATAACGCCTTTAGTGCTCTAGGACACTTCAACTGACTGATGATATAGGAAAATCCACATTACAAAATGAAATCTTGGGTGACCTTGGAAAGGAGTTTGGTTCTACGCCCGAACGGCCTGAAGATACCCCTCTCGACGAACTCTCTTCCTCTCTCCAGGCCACTTTCAACGGCCAGCTTGGAAAACAATCCTCATCTCTTATTGCGCGACTGGTTTCTTCCAAGATGCCGGGTGGTTTCAATATTACCGCTGTCCGCAAGTATTTAGAATCTCGCTGGGGTCTGGGTCCTGGTCGACAAGATGGTGTTCTCCTCTTTGCTCTCACCATGGAGCCCGCGTCCCGTATTGGCTCTGAGGCTGATGCGAAGGCGTACTTTGACGACATTACGAATAAATATGCTAATAATGCCGGAATAACACTGTCTACGGCCAAGGCTGGAGGTGACAGCGGTGGCGGCTCAGGAGGCATGATGATGGACCCTGCCGCTATTGATGCGCTAACCAAAGACCAGAGAGCTCTCTTCAAACAGCAACTAGAAGCCATTGCAAGATACCTTAAGATGGACCTCCGCGCTGGAGACAAAGCCTTTGTTGCATCTCAGGAGTCCCAGGCCGCTCTACAGGCCCAGCTTGACCTCTGGCAGATAGAGCATGGTGAAGTGTATGCCTCTGGTATCGAGCCTTCCTTCGACCCTCTCAAGGCCAGAGTATACGACTCTTCTTGGAATTGGGCTCGCCAGGACGCTCTCAGCATGTATTATGATATCATTTTCGGCCGTCTTCGCGTCGTTGATCGTGAAATTGTCAGCCGGTGTATCCACATCATGAACAGATCCAACCCGCTCCTTCTTGACTTTATGCAGTACCATATCGATAACTGCCCGACCGAGCGTGGAGAGACCTATAAGCTAGCCAAGGAGCTTGGATGCATGCTGATCGAGAACTGCAAGGATGTTCTCAACGCCGATCCAGTATACAAAGACGTTGCAGTCCCCACTGGACCCCAGACAACCGTAGATGCTAGAGGAAACATTAAATACCAGGAAGCCACACGACCAAGTGCTCGCAAACTCGAAGACTACGTCCGTGCTATGGCCCAGGGAGGACCGATCTCTCAATACAGCGGCCGCACAAAAGTACAAAACGACCTCAAGAATGTTTATAAAATGATTCAAAAACAACATAAACTTTCCAAGGCTTCACAACTACAGTTCAACTCACTTTATAAGGAAGTTCTGCGAACCTTGGCCATGAACGAACGCCAAATCATGCCTAGACAGAACGGCCACACTAGAAAGGGAACGCCTGCTAACGGAGCTCTCTCTCCTCCTGCCAACTCTGGCAAGGTTGAGACGATCCCCTTCTTGCACCTTAAGAGGAAAACAACTCACGGATGGGAGTACAGCAAGAAATTGACTGGCATCTATCTTGATGGGCTCGAGTCTGCTGCTCGGTCAGGTCTCACCTTCAGTGGCAAGAACATCCTGATGACTGGTGCTGGCGCTGGCTCTATTGGTGCCGCTGTTCTACAGGGAATGATCAGTGGTGGAGCTAAGGTTGTTGTGACTACCAGTCGCTTCTCGAGGGAAGTTACTGAGTACTACCAAACAATGTACACACGATATGGCGCTCGAGGGTCCCAACTTGTTGTCGTCCCATTTAACCAGGGAAGCAAACAGGACGTTGAAGCTCTTATTCAGTACATCTACGACCCCAAGAATGGGCTTGGATGGGATCTAGATCACATTGTTCCGTTTGCTGCTATTTCTGAAAACGGCCGTGAAATAGATTCTATTGACTCCAAATCGGAACTGGCCCATCGTCTTATGTTGACAAATATTCTCCGTATGATTGGTGCTGTCAAGTCCCAGAAACATGAGCGGGGTTTTGCAACCCGTCCGGCTCAAGTTGTTCTCCCCATGTCTCCCAACCACGGAACCTTCGGAAACGACGGTCTTTATTCTGAGTCAAAGCTTGGTCTAGAGACCCTATTTAACAGATGGTACTCTGAGAACTGGTCCGACTATCTCACCATTTGCGGAGCTGTTATTGGTTGGACCCGTTCTACCGGTTTGATGAATGCCAATGACACTATTGCCGAAGGTGTTGAAAAGCTTGGTGTTCGTACCTTCTCTCAACAAGAAATGGCCTTTAACTTGCTCGGACTTATGGCGCCACCTATTGTTGATCTCTGCCAGAGTAACCCTGTATTTGCGGACCTGAACGGTGGTCTGCAATTCATTCCTGATCTCAATGGGTTGATGAAGAAGCTTCGCAGTGAGATTGTTGAGACCAGCGCTGTCAGACAGGCAGTTATGAAAGAAACCGCCCTCGAGAATAAGATTGTTAACGGCGAAGACAGCGAGGCTCTGTATAAGAAAGTCATTACTGAACCTCGTGCCAACCTCAAATTCGAATTTCCGAGTCTGCCTGATTGGAAGACCGAGGTTGAGCCTTTGAACGGCGACCTCAAGGACATGGTCAACTTGGATAAAGTCGTTGTTATTACCGGATTTGCCGAAATTGGACCATGGGGTAACTCCCGTACCCGCTGGGAGATGGAGGCTTACGGGAAGTTCTCTCTTGAGGGCTGCATCGAGATGGCATGGATGATGGGCCTCATCAAGAACCATAATGGCCCTCTCAAAGGTAAACCATACTCTGGTTGGGTTGACACCAAAACTGGTGAACCAGTTAGCGACAAGGACGTCAAAGCCAAATACGAGAAGTATATTTTGGAGCACTCTGGCATTCGTATTGTCGAGCCTGAGCTGTTCGGTGGATACGATCCCAATAACAAACACCTTTTGCAAGAGGTTGTTCTGCAAGAGGATCTCGACACTTTTGAGGCATCCAAAGAGACCGCTGAGGAATTCAAGCGTGAACATGGCGACAAGGTTGAGATTTTCGAAATCAAGGACTCCGGAGAGTATACTGTCCGTCTACTTAAGGGGGCTACTCTTCTCATCCCCAAAGCTCTCAAGTTTGACCGTTTCGTCGCTGGCCAGATTCCTACAGGCTGGGACCCTAAGCACTATGGAATTCCTGATGACATTATCAGTCAGGTTGACCCGGTCACCCTCTACGTGCTCGTTTGTACCGTTGAGACTCTTCTTGCATCTGGTGTCACGGATCCATATGAATTCTATAAATATGTTCATATTTCCGAAGTTGGCAACTGTATTGGCTCTGGTATTGGAGGTGCTCAAGCTCTTCGCGGTATGTATAAGGACCGTTACCTTGACAAGCCACTCCAAAAGGATATCCTTCAAGAGTCCTTTATAAATACTATGAGTGCCTGGGTAAATATGTTGCTCCTTTCGTCAACTGGCCCTATCAAGACGCCAGTTGGTGCTTGTGCCACTGCTGTTGAATCCGTGGACATTGGTTACGAGACCATTGTTGAAGGCAAGGCTCGCGTCTGCTTTGTTGGTGGATTTGATGACTTCCAAGAAGAAGGCTCCTACGAATTCGCCAATATGGGCGCCACCAGCAATGCGGAATCTGAATTAGCTCACGGTCGAACACCAAAGGAGATGTCTAGGCCCACCACCACTACTCGTAGTGGATTCATGGAATCTCAGGGGTGTGGTATGCAATTGATTATGAGTGCTCAACTTGCCCTGGATATGGGTGTTCCAATTTATGGTATAGTGGCTCTTACCACCACAGCTACTGATAAGATTGGCCGTTCAGTTCCTGCTCCCGGTAAGGGAGTATTGACCACTGCTCGTGAGAACCCTGGAAAGTTCCCCTCGCCACTACTTGACATCAAATACCGACGCAGGCAGCTGGACATGCGCCGTCGCCAAATTCGAGCATGGCGTGAGTCTGAGATTCTTGGTCTCCAAGACGAGATCGATACTCTGAAGGCCCAGTCTGATGAAACCTTCAACGCTGCTGAATACCGACAAGAAAGATTCGAACATATTGAGCGCGAGGCCATCAGGCAAGAAAAGGACGCTGCATTCAGCTTGGGTAATAACTTCTGGAAACAAGATTCTAGAATAGCTCCCTTGCGAGGTGCCCTCGCCACTTGGGGCCTCACTATTGACGATGTTGATGTGGCTTCATTCCACGGTACCTCTACCGTGGCCAATGATAAGAATGAGTGTGATGTCTTGTGCCAGCAGATGAAGCATCTTGGCCGAAAGAAGGGTAACGCTCTCTTGGGTATTTTCCAGAAGTATCTCACCGGTCATCC